AAGAGCCACTAGTAACAAGAACCTCAAAACAAGGGCTACATGATATGGACAAAGTACTAAAATTGCAATTATATTGCTACATATTGTGATTTCGATCCACCTTGCAATATATTAATAATGCACTGGTGAATAAATAGTGTGACAAAAATTGGCCAGCATCATTTGGAACATAACTGACTGCATTTGCTGCATTTCCTGCATTACATGAATACCTTCATTCACCAAAACACCCATAGGAACACTTATAAAGGAATTGTGAATTGCTCAGGGTGCTCACAGTAACACTGTCATAAATCAGAGGACTTATTTACAGGCTGTAACTATTTGTGATACCACTATGGCAAAAGCCAATATCACCATAATGAATAACCAACAAAATATTGTGCAGCCCAAACTATGCAAAAATTAAGAAGAAGAAACAAGACCCAACAATTACAGATAATTATAAAACTTTAAGTAACCATTAAACCTACGTGAAGTCCTGAAGGATGACGCGGGCTGGTTTGAAGGGCACCTCCACTGTCTGGGTCTGTGTCTGCTTCCAGTTGAGGATGCTCTCCACATCCTCCTTCTTCACCAGGAACTCATCACAGTTCCTCACTGCCGACTCCAGCAGCACACGGATGGAGAAAGGTAGGCGTTCTGTATTGAAGGAGAGAGAACAAGGTGTAAAGGAAAGTGCCATGTGGTTTTGAATGACTTAAACCAACTAGTCAAAACACAAAGCAAAACATACACCAAATACAGAGAGGAAACAATAGAAAAGTTGGCATCAGCTTTAACATTACACACACATTTAACATTAACATTTTCACAGACAGCACACAAAGTAACAGCTTCACATACAGTGGCCCCAAAAAGTATCTGGACATTCAAGTCAAACCAAGTGACATTTTTTGAAAACAGATCATTTCAAAACTGTAATGTTCTTTTTGGCAAAGTCCTTTCAAAAGGTGTCTGGTGAGTTTCAGATTGATATTGCTTTAAGAGCTTTTTTGCAGACTTTTGCAGGTTTGCATCCAAAATGCCTTTGCACACTTCTACGTTCATGACCCCAACAATGAACACTGATATCACTGTAAGAAAAACAGCCACAGACTTTGAAAATTCCTCCTCTGTGCTTTACAGTACTCTTAGTGCAGTCTGGTTGTTGATGCTGTGCTAAAAGTGTTTTCCTCTGAAGCAAATATCATTTTGTGGAACTTCAATAAAGTAACCTAAAAACCTTCATTAAAGTTTACCAATGTTCAAATGGTTAAAGTGTCCAAATACTTTTAGGGAGCGCTGTATCTCTGTGGGTACAATCAAAACACATTTCAAACCAACGATACAGGGTATCAGCAAATTCAATATAACGTTTTTATGACCTTCATAAAGCCACCATGAGATTTTTAATGCTTCTTTAACCAATTTGTTATGCCAGACACTGTAAAAGATAATTTTGCTTGACATTTTACTCAGATTAAGCCAAAAGACGTAGTAAGATTGCATCAATTTAAGCGCCCAGCAGATTCCATCAGAATTCTGAAGTTCTACAAATCAAAATGGTGTTCAGATATGTTCTGTATCTTTTAAAAAAGAAAAAAAAAGTTAAATTCTGAAAACATTACAACCTGTAAAGATCAGATTTCAGACTTGTTGAAGCCATTTAAAGCCTTGTTTTTCACAAAAATTATTTAATTTTTTCATACTCCACAATGACCTGTAGATATCCTGTGATGATCACTGCTAGACCCCTCCAACCAGCCCCAACTCAGAAAAAAATATCATACTCATATATAAAAAAAGAAAGAACTGCAGAGTTCACACTGCAGTCATTCTCTTACCATATCTGGGGTCTCCAAGTTTTGTGAGATTGAAGAATTTATGTTCAGGCTTCTGGGGGTCCAAAGGCTCTATGATGTGTGCGTAAGGGTTACTCATGGCTGACGTTGCCTGAGGAATAAACGAAGGGTACAGTTTGTCTTAGAACAGAAAAGAGCTTTAAAACCTAAACATTAATGACTAAAGTCCTACTCTCAATGTGCTACAGCTAGCTAAAATCCCCCAACCTGGCACTCAGACCTCTCTCTGCAAATGACCATTATGGCTGCTTTTTTGCTCCTATTTATCACCAAAGGCTTGATCCTCTGCCAAACTCCAGGGGTTGGTACGTGACAACCATGATTACACCATTTGAGATAGCATGGGCCACCATCATTGAGTAAAAGAAAGAAAGAGAGACAGAGAGAGAGAGAGAAAGAGAGAGAGAGAGAGAGAGAGAGAAGGGTGTTTATCTGCCCACACTAGTTTATGTAGAGGCAAGGCTATGTGTTTAAATCTAAAGTTTACATCAAAACCTTCATATCTGGTCGATCTGAAGACGATAAACTGAATCATACAGCTAAGATCACAAACTAAGAAGTGTAAACGTGCCTCTCAGCATGCTAATAGAACAGTGACTGATGCTGGATTGTGGTGTTTGGGTTTACCTGTGAATTAAGAGGCTCATTTCAAATACAAGTACAGCTATGCAACAGATAAGAGTAAGAACATATGATGATATCGGTGACAAATCAGCATCAGCCCACAATTTCTATAGTGGTGCATCTCTAGATAAAAGTTGTCTATTGTTATAGTCTGTATGGAAGGTTAGTCACACATGGAAAGAGGTAATACAGCTGATGGTGCCAGAGGATCTGTGACGAAACTATTACTGACAACATCAGGGGTTTTTCTGCCATATGCTCATTTTCAACCCATTTCCTTGTTCATATTCAAATGCAATCAGACTTACTGTTGAACTAACTGCAGTCTAACACTTGAGGAGTAGCTGACAAATTTCAAAGCTCCATAAAATCCATAAAATTTAATTTGAGCCAGCGCTGCAAGAATATTACCAACAATCTCATGATTCAAATAGATTTTTAAAGTTGTGTGGCAGCAAACTGTGTAGTAAAAAGCTGTTCTATGGTGAGGTTTTGGGAGCTTTAACACTTTGCTTCTGGTTCCCCTAGGCTTAAGCAGTTAAGTTAATATTTCTAGGACACAAGTAATGTTATTGTAAACAAGCCCAACACATTGTGTGGCGAAGTGATGTAGATTTTTCTTCAAAAATTGGGCCATGCTTTGAGCAGAGAAAAGCCACCAGTAAACCAGCTACGCAGGGTAATCCACTCCACCCTGCAGGCCAAGTCACCAAACTCTATTAAAACACATAAAATCAGGGAAGTAATTTCCTACAAACAATAGCTGATGTATTGTCTGTAGTGTAGCTGATGCAGGTGAGCTGCACATTACTATGCCAAAGGCAGTAAACAGTATGAAATCCAGTGGAGTGGATGTCTCTATGGACTAGGGACATTAACCTGTTAAACTCATAGACGTGTGTTCACAAATCATATCAGTTAGAGAAAAGCTGATCTAGGATCAGTTTTATGGCTATAACCATCTTAATACGTGAGGAGTCTGATCTGAGATCAGCCCTCTTACTCAGATCTACCTTGTCAACACTGACGTTAACTTCGCTCTGATGGTCCATGCAGCACTTCACTCATACACCTGCTCAAGTCCACCTCTGAGTCAATGGAACTACACATGTATCGGCATGATAACTCGCATTACAACCGTGCTGACATCATACTAATGATCTTTGAAATACATAAATAAACCCTCTTTAATCGTACGGGTCTATTGGCTAGCTATGTTGCTATGTAGCTAGCTAATTCAGTTCAACTAAATGTTAGCTCGCTCGCCCAAGCCTTGGTTCTGTCAACCAGTTAACTGGCTAACGTTAGTTTAGCCTGCAAAATAAACTTCGTATTTCTACACTCGTTTCACAAACAACACACTACCTGTTGCAACAGCTTGCTGTGCTGGCAGCCACAATTTCGACCTTGCGCCCTGTCACGAAGCTGAAGTCGGCTTCGTATTCGCCCAGCTTCATGTTCGAATTTTCCTGTTCCACCTTAAATGGTGCAGCAGTTACATTCTGTCACCTCAGGTGTTGTAATGACTGCCGCACCATTTTAAGGTGGAACGGGCAAATTCGAACCTGAACCTGGCGAATAGGAAGCCGACTTAAGCCTCGTCGACCTGTTAGTGGCCTGTCTGCCACGCCTAACGTTAGCTAGCGTTTTATTAGCTGGCTTTCACAATAGCATGCAGAGAAATCAGTTGTATTAACACAAACAATACGAACATCTATAGTATGTTTCCCAAACTCCACGTACTCCGTTTCTCAGGACTTACCCAGCTATCTCTCACACTTCCCAAAACCTGGAGCTGTGCTGTGCTCCTTGAAGAGCCAGGCAGGCAGCAGAGACCACTGCGTTACCGTAATACACAGCGCACAACAGAACTGCGACTCACACACTCGGTTTCATTTTATTTTCAGTCCTAGCAAAGATCGACTAATTTTTACACATTTGCAGAAATACTAAAATATTATTCGTGTACGGTATGGCTTTTATTCGATAAGAAAGACGATCACGTGTCAAATTATTTTTCATACATTTTATATTACATTTTATACGGTAATGAATCAGCTCTTTATTACAAACCATAACAGCAGAGGTCAAAGTCATTAAGTTTTAGGCTTAATTACCTCTATTTATTCTCATCTTGTAGCTCTACAAAGGTGTTTCATGATATTGAAGAATCATATAAATAGAATAAACTGTATTTCAGCTGTATGGCTGAAATAAAGCTCCACTCCTGGGGTGGTTAAACAGGAGCCAATGAAAAGTGTTTTGCATGTTGCACAATATGCCAGTTTGAACTCACTGGTCCGGATGGAGTTTTAGGAATACACTATTTCACACTGTACCACTGCTGAAACATCAGAAACTGCTGTGCCCTGAAAACAAAACAAAAGTCTTAATTTTTCCTCTTCTCATCACAGTTAGAGAAGCAGGGGGATTATGAGTCTTTAAATGAACAAAACAGGGATACTTACATACATGTTCATAATGTTTATTTCATTTAAGAGAGAAAACAAAGAAGATAAAGTATTTCTGTTGACGGTTATCATGCATGCATCAGGGCTTTAAGGGGCCCATTTAATGAAAAAACATATTTTACTTAATTTATTTTTTTAAATAAAAGAGTCTGCTGTAGTATGTAAACACCGTTAAAGTTTCAGAGTACATACGGTTCATATATGGAAATTAAACTGCTAAACCAGTCTGTTTTCATATCAACCTATTTAACCTACAGTAGTTTAGCTCCACCCATTAACTTGAAGTTATAAGGAGTGTTTCAGCCTGGACTGCTTTTTGAATGAGACGCAATACAGGCTATCCAAATCTGAACAGAGCTCATTTATATATAACAGTCTCATAGACACAGTAACAAAAACAGCTTGTTTGATTCTAAGAGAGATTGGAAAACAGTCACATAAAAACAAACTGTTTTTGGTACACAAAACCACACACACATCATAAGTTAACCTCATGGGAAAAACAAAATACAAGATAAAAATAGCAGATAGGCCCTTTAAGTCAGTTCTAATCACCTTGTGAATGCAAACATGTACTAGTTCACATTCTTCTCTTAAAGCTTATAAAGGCCTGGAATGAGTGGTTGGATTGTTCTGAGATTTAGAGAGTGCAGGTTGGTTTGGCATGCGGCCCGACAGGGTCTGATGAAACGATTAGCCGTTGGCTCTCAGTGATGGAGCTCCTTCCTCTTCTTGCTGCCCTCCCTGATCCTCTGCATCCTGTAGGTCTTCCTGGCCAGCGCTCGCTCTTTCTCTTGCACTTCTGTGTCATCTAGGACCTCCAGGCTGGGAATCTGACTGATAACGTACTGCCTGCAGAGGAGGGAGTGGAGACAAATCGAGCTGAACTCAGAATGAACCTATGTTTCATAAACACACTGAATGAGCTTTGAACTTCTACACTCACAAAAAAAAGGTAACTGTCAGTGAGGCAGTACGCCTCTTGTCACTGGAGTGGAACCCTCAAGGGTACAGCTAAGTGCCTTTAGTCAGGGAACAAAACTGTTCCATAATACACTGAAATTATATTTTAGTTGTATTGACTCCACACACCCCGTCTCGTCTCCGGGATTTTTGTTTTATTGTTCTGTTTTAAACATTAAGTTATGAAAAGGTACAAATCTGTACTTTTCACCTGGAAAAACTTATTTAAGGTACACAATTGGATCTTAAAACCGCTGTTGTATGTTTGAGGGAACATTTACATTGTTTGTACCTCAATGAACGTAAAATGTACATGCACAGAACCTTTATTTCTAACAGTGTAAAAAAACTTAATTTTGTCTAAAATACGGGAAGGAGATCTCATTCTTTTTCATCAATTTATGGAACTTTGGATGTACACTTTGTAGCCCATACATGCTTATTTAATGTAATCTACAAAGTCCTACTGGAACACTGAGCTGTTGTTGCCTTGATCATCACACTGGTTCAAGGGTCAAGTGAGACAAAGAAAAAAGCCACTTAATTTTCAATAATGATGCAAGAAATGACGAAGTTTTCCCTCATATTCACAAACTAGGATCCTTCTTTGTACATGCTAAGTGCTTTATTTACAATCAAAATTGCAGAAAAAGTCCTATCTATTCAGAGCTGCATAAGGAAATATGTAAAGCTGTTGTAAACAAAACGGCATCAAATATCACAGTGGCTTTAGGGACCTTATCAAACATATAGAAAGTGAAAGAAATTAAAAGAAATTGAAATGTTTTTCACTGACAGTTTCTGGTTTTCTTTTTATCATACTTTCTCTTCATTAAGAGACTTTTTACAGGAGCTATTTCAACGCCTGCCATCTTCTTATCCACGTGAAAAACTTTTATAACTTTACTATAACGTTTTTTATAACTTGACCACCAGAGGGCGCAATACACCAGAATTCGTACAAAGGAGAATTCTACAGCGTTTTCAAAATCTTCTGCATAATTCAAACATAAAGAAGTACACATGGCATTCAGAGTGGCTTGATGTGAGATGGTGCGGATTTCTTTACAATGGTGATGACAGGAACCCTGGAGTCACGATATATATATATGCAAATATAGCCATTTTATTTGCGATCCAAAATGACCAGTTTGGTCTTGCATAATCTTTAGACATCTGGTTCCTATCGCCACCACTGTGAACAATTCTGACTCTGTATGTTTTTTTTTTTTCCAGAACAGACCTTTTCACATCAAACCACTGAGAATGACTTTGTTTACATCTTAATGATTGAATTACACAGACATTTTGAAAAACTGGTGCAATTCAATTCAATGCAATGAATAAATATCTTTATAATCACATTACGTGCATTTTTGGTGACCAATCTTGTGACTAATCCTCACTGAGCTCATTTGCAAGTTTTAAATATAGTGAGGATAAAGTGTTACTTTCTTTACCTGTAGTCAATATACTGAGTCAGACTTCCTCCATTAAAATAACTGGGTGCTGCTTCATTGTTCATCATACTAAGTATCCTGTAAACACAGCAAACAATGACATTTATTAGTTTTTCTGAATAAATACAGTCATGTGGTATTAACACTGAGTCTCCTGCTCCTTTATGACTGATCAAACAGAAGAAGAGATGAATGTAGCCCACTTGATATTGGGGAACTTGCAGCGGATCTCCTCCACTATGATGGGCAGGTTGCTGATTTTGTTCTTGTTGATCCACAGGGTGGTGAGGCTGGGCATGTAGGGGAACTTGACATGAGCATTATAGTTGTTGCAGTCCAGGATGAGGGTGCTCAGCTTCTCCAGCTCAACCAGCAAAGCTGGGCTCCGTTACCAGCTGAGTTAAGGACTGCCACCCACTGATAAAGGCACTTTACAAGACCAAAAGCTTCTATTAGTGTATGTAATGCGATGGCACTCTGAAACCTGCAGAACACACCGCAGAACATTTGTGTGCTAGAAGGACTGTGGGTGTGTGTTAATGGGTTATTTGTTCTCTATTTTTTCCTTTTGCACTTACCTGCAGTATTTGCAGTCATGGTTAGTGTTTGGAAAGCTTTTCAGTCTTTTTAGTTTGAATGCAAGGCTGATTGCATAGACTCTCCGGCAAATATTAGATGTAACCCAATAATATAATCAGGATCTTTTGGGCCCACATAAAAATTATATTTAATTAATTAAAAAGACAGTGGAATATTCTTGTTTACTTGTTATGGCCATGTCTCAACCAAATTGGTGGCCTAAGGTTAGCTAACGGTTGAAGTAGAAACAACCCACCCACCATCACCAACACCACCACACTATTGGGCCTTTTGCAACCATCCTGTCTTCAATATTAGCAGTTACACCATTAGGGGACCCTTAACTTCGCATGTTTTTGGTAAATGAGCATATTTTCTTTGTCAGTTTGCAATAACCTAACATATTAAAAACTAACCAGGTTTATTTTGAGGAAAACAATATTTGTGACAGTAAGGCCCTGGGAAAAAGGCAAAATACCACATATTTTATCCCCTTGTTGTGAATATCAGCTCTCATCAGCACTCAAGCTTTCAGCTGTTTAAACTACCTTTGGGCCAAAAGATTTTTGGTATGTGCTTTTAACAACAGTGGAAAAGAAAATTGTCCAATCATGGCAAAACTTGCTCTTCACAGAAGACACTTTGGTGAACAGGAAGCTGATAATAAATGCAAAGTATTAGCAAATTAGCAATAATTGTTAGCATCTTACTTATTAGTAAAAATAACTGAGAGGAATTCAAATTTCAATTTTAGTTCATTTATATTAATTGTGGTTGCAAATTGTCGCTGTTGGGGCAAAATCTGGTATCTACTTTTTTGTCTACTTCTGTTTTTCCAGAATTTGAAAAAACCAGCTGCCTACTACAGTATGTTAAAATTAATCATGAACAGACCAATAGAAGTAGTCCAGATGTTACCAAACTTTTAAAAACCATTAACTTCCATTCAAAGCTAAGACTTTTTTTCCTTCTTCTGTAAAGTTTCAATCAGCAATGAAATATGTATTGATGCACTGAAATGCATCGATATGAAGGATTTAAACGAATCAATTTTTTCGAGTGTTATAATCTTTTAGAACCTATTAAAATAACATTTAATAAAATTTGTGTTTGTCATTTGGCTAAAAATAAAAATCCCAGGCCATTTTCAAACCTAACCACACCTAAAGAGCTTAGTATACTGTTTTAGTTTGTATTGCTACTGCTGTGTAAGTAGCTCCTGCAGTCATTAGTGTATTCAATGTATGTTTAAAAAATTAAATCAAATCGAATCAAATCGTGATGAAGTTAGAATTTTGATGATGTACCGAATCGTTTCCTAAGGAATCGTAAACTAATCAAATCACTGTGTTGTCATGATGTTAATATAAATGTATGTGGCCTTTTCCGCACATATGGAGAAAGGTGCCGTTTAAAGGATACTCATCCAGCAGGTTGTAGCTGAGGTCCAGAACCTCCAGGGTGTCCCGCTGCTCCAGAATGATGTCATAAGGAATCTCTAGAAGGCCCTGATACGCGAAGGAGAGCCTTTTCAAGCCCAGCTCTGTGGTGGGGCTCCCAGGGGCCAGGGCCCCTGCCTCCACTACACTGCTCTCACACTCCTCCATGTGGTCAGATCCCCACCACCACGGCATCAGGACACATAGTGGCCACCACCTGACCAGGCTACAGACACCCTAAAAAACATGTAAAGGTTCTACATTTCGTTGCTGTACTGTACAATGTAACATTCAGTAATTATTCCGTAATTGTTATCATTATATTGTTACTGCAATATTGGACAGTTTGCTCCACAATATGCAATATACAATATGCTGCAACATAACTGCAATATGGTATTTTGTGCAGCCCTGGTTCTGTGTAAATGTCAGCAGTTTACAATCAAAATAGGTAAAATTCCACTGTCATGTAAATACTACACGGAAAGAATGTGGTCACATACGCATACAGAACTTAGACCACTAATCACCAACCTTGGTCATGGGAGCTCTACCTTCCTGCAAAGTTGCAACCACAATCTGCCATACCTGTTCCAGATAATTCACTTCTTCAGAATTCCTTGACTGACTGGATCAGATGCATTCGTGTTAGTATGTTAGCATAGTGCTTGCATGTTAGATGCAGGTTAGACAAAATTCTGCAGGAAAGTAGATCTCCAGGGTGACCACTGGTTTAGACACATGTCTGAGCTCAAGCTAATACCCTTTAAGTTCTAAACATGGGTGCAAATAAAACTGACATCATAGAAAACTGTTAAGGGAGAGCTCTAAACGTATTTTGACTGCTATCCAAATGAGCAGATGACCCCAGTGCACGTCATATCTTATCTGGGTCATGCAACAATCTTGTGATGCAAAACTGCTCTTTTGATCAAAGTTATGTATTTCAAGTATCAAAAAATCATCACCTTTCTATTGCCTCAGACTTGTCACATAGTTTTCTTTCAACAGGAGGAATAGTTTGATGTCATTCAAGCTAAAATGACAAATGCTATCTTCATAACTAAAACATTAAACAGCTACCAACATAGAAAGCACTGAAAACAGTCAGGACTAAAAAAATAATTTCCAAAAACACAGAAAGTGTCATTAGAAATTCATAGTGATGGATAAATCACATTTACATACATATAAAACTACAGTGATCTACATCAGTGGAGTTAACCACATCTCAATAGCTAAAATCATACTCACCAGTGTTAGCTGGGTTAGTAGGGTGTGCTGAGACGGTCTCCGACTGTGTGCAGTGAAGGTCTGCTCTAAACTCATAAAGGCCTTCTTTCATGACTGGAGTCAGGATCACAAGATCTGGATAATCACATTGCCTGTTAACCCCTTCCTTCACCCCATTTAGGCCAGCAGCCAGCAGACTAGAATAGATGGACAGCTGTCTTCAGCTTTAACTCTAGTTTATTGATTATATAGTTTTAACTGTTGTTTTTATGAAGTGCTTTTGTCATATGCTCTGCTTGTTATAAGGTGAAGCTCAATATTAATTTACATGCCTGTTTATATGTTCTGTCCCATGATGGTCAGTGCTTAAAAACGCATATCCTATTCATATCTTCATTTTTTTATGAACTGAACACATCAGCTGCTCTGTGCATTATGTTAAAATTTCATGATGATTGGGCCTTTAGAAATGGGGCAAAATCACTTTTTACGTTAAGAATATTATTCCCTTCTCCTATAAAAGCAATTTTGTGGTAAATATTTTTTTATTGGGACAGTGATGATATTTTAATTATATTTGATTATTTCCCAAAGTCATAAATAATTTTACATGACCATTTTCCAAATGCCTCTTATCTCTTAAAATTAAACAGATTCTGATTGGCTGCAATGTACTGTACACCAATAACAAAGCAGTCAGGCTGAAACACACTTTATAACTTCAACCTGAATGAGCAGACTAAAACTGGTATAGGCTGAATGGGTGAATACAGGGGTGAGTGATCAAATAAAAGAAAAATCAACTTAAAGCATCTTAGTAAGTTGTTGAGCCACCACAAGCCAAAAGAACAGTTTTAAAGCGCCTTGGCGTGGATTCTACAAGTCTCTGAAGCTCTCAAGCCCCCCCCCCACAGCATTGTGATGTATCGATCTAGAGGTGCCAATTCAAATGCATCAATTTTTTTCAAAAGTTATAATCTATTATAATATATTAAAATAATATTCAACAAAGTATGTGGCTACAAATTAAATGTCCAGGGTACTTTCAAACCTGCCTATCCCCCAAAAGCTTAGTGTATTGCTTTTGCTTTTGTTGCTACTACTGTGTAAGTAGCTCCTGAAGCCATTTCTATATTCAATATATGTTTAAAAACGATTCTGGATTGTATGAAAATTATTGAACAAAGTGAAATTTGATGATGTACCAAATTGTGTCCTAAAGAATCATAAACTAATCAGATCATTGTGTTGTCATGATGTTAATATAAATGTATGTGGCCTTTTCTGCACATATGGAAAAAGGTGCAGTTTAAAGGGTACTCATTCAGCTGGTTGTAGTTGAGGTCCAGAACCTCCAGGGTGTCCCGCTGCTCCAGAATGATGTCATATGGAATCTCCAGAAAGACCTGATATGCGGATAATTTGCCACCAGATCTTAACTCTAGGGGATATTTTGCCCTGATGTGTTGCACAGCACTATCCACCACTATCATCAAAACACCAATTAAGGGAAATATCTTTTAGAAGAACGGTTCAATCTTTACAATAGAGATGTAGAGGCTTGTAGAATCTATGCCAAGACACAATTAAACTGTTCTTTTGGCTTGTGGTTGCTCAACACCTTACTAAACCACCATCATCAGCAAAGTAATTTCCCCAGCAGAACAGAAAGGTAGACAGACATAATTACGTTTGTATTGATTTGCAGTGACTCTTTCTCCTAAGGGCACAGGTGGACCAAACCACATCGGCAGAACCGGGCCCTTCCCCACAACTCTACTGGAATATCCCTCTTTATGCAGCTGTGGATGGACTCTTCTAGCTGTCAGTCACCTCAGGAACAATTTCAACTAAATTTACTGATGTGTTTCCCCACAGAGCTAAGTCACTTCAGTCACTTGAGTTTTTGTGACTGAAGCTCCTGCTATCCGTAACCTTCTTTCAAAGCCACTTAGATCTTTTCCCCTTGCCTTCTTGCTTCAAAATCGAGGTCTAATGGCCCTGCTTAGCACTTTTACATATTCCACAGAGCACAGAAGGATATACATACATACATACATACATACATCATCTAAACCGCTTATCCTTCTGGGTCGCGGTGGGGTGCTGGAGCCTATCCCAGCTGTACAGTAGGATACATTTTATCATGCAGTACACCTGTCTGGAAGCATCTGCACTCATTGCGTTTCTCCACTCATTTGTTCAGGGTTTCCCTGTAATGTGTTGCTCATTTGTAAATCATAAAAACCCAAGTATCTGTTTTTTGCCATTTTTAGTTTTCTCCGTAATTTGAGCTGAGCAGTTGTCCTTTTCCTTGTGTGAAAATGTTGATGATTGGACCAACAGAAATGCTCTAAAACTGCTTGAATAAAATCTCTTTACATTAACTTACGTTGAAAGTCAATAATGTTTTTGCCCTCTTTTGTAAAGTTTCTATCTTGGATATACTTGTTTTTCTTTGGGGAGCGACTATATGTAAATTTGGTGACATCAAAAAACAAAAACAAACAAACAATGAATTCTTACGGTCTGGGAAGTGACTATCACGTTTTGAAACTTTAACAATGTGTGCATACTGCACCAAACTTGTGTCAAAAAAGCAAGGACATTTTCGTTATAAGGGCCTTTCACATTCCTTTCAAGGGACTTCTGAAAAAAAGAGCAAAACACAAACCTGTGTATATGTTTATATCTATTTCCTGTATACAAACAGCCTTTTGTTGGTGAAGTCTTCGCATAACAGACACGAGCGTGATTCTAAATCTACTGTGTTTACCCAGAGACAGTCTGTGAAAGACCTTGAAAGTCTCTCCTTTGTGTTTATTTTGATCGTGTTGCGGCACGTAAAGAACGTGGTCTGCCTGGTTTCACTCTCCATATAAGGCTATGATGCAACTCCAGCTCAAGCTGTGGGAGTTTCTCGAAACTTAACGAAATTACGCTCTGCGTGATTTCCCAGATTGCCATTGGAGACGTACAGTAAACCCCTCCCCCCAAATGCTGACGTCTTCACCCAGAATATAAGCGGTGTCCGTCACTCACAGCGTCATTTCTATTTACAGAGAGAAAGGATGAAGCGCATGGAATAGACACTGAGCGAGAGATGTTTACGAACGGAGCGAAAACTGGTCACTTATCCGAGATGGACTCTATTCATTCGCTGTACACAACGACTGTTGTCGAGAATACCAGTGAGTTCAACTTCGCGGCCCGGAATCTTCGCTGGAGTGATTGTCAAGCAACTGGCTGATCTTCAAGGTAACGCCAAGACTTTTTGTTAAGGCTTGTTGTGATTAATGATGTCCTAATCGACCAAAAGCAGGATTTCTTAGCCAACTGGAAACCCAATGGTAGCTGTTTTAGCAGAAAGTTAGGAATAACGTTATCCAGCTGGAGTGTCTTTAACAGTTTCGCCGTCACGAAACTGAAGTCAGTTTCTTACACGCCAGGTTTTTGATCGAATTTCGACGTTCCACCTTAAATGGTGCAGCAGTTATCTACATCCTGAGGCGTCAGAATATTACTGCTGTATCTTTTAAGGTGGAACGGGTAAATTCGAAGAAGTAGCTGGCGAAACAAACCAACTTCATCTTCGCTTCGTCCTTGGACAGGCTTGTCTTTTGGTTTAAGATATTTTGTTAACTGAGACATTCTACTTTGTGAAATGACTCAATAGATATTGATTTTAAGAACCATTTACGACATATGTTAGAAATTACTGTTCAGTTTAACGTACTTCCGCAGCAGCGCAGTTGCTAGGTTACAGCATACGTGAGCGTAAACACGCAGTCACTGTGACTCATCTGCCCTGAACTGGAGCTGACCGGATCTAATGCTACACAGGCTAAGAATGCCCTAAGTACCCAAGAATGGTATCACTGACTTGTGTTCGTGAATCTTTGTAGTAATTTCACACTCATATTGTTTTCTTACAGAGTGATTATGACTGCTATGGCACTATTCACCACAAATCTGCATCATCCATTATATTACTGGTGCCTACCACAGGCAGCCCTGTACATCCCATCTGTGAAGAACCTTGTGCATTCTGCTAACATGACAAGGATGAATAAAAATCTGCCACTAAGTCCATACACTGGAATGCCCGTGCTTACCATGTTGGAGAAAATTGGACTTCATCTGTGGGAAGTCATTCGGCAAGTCATCCGTCGCTTTATGAGCGTTACGGAGCTTCTGAACTCTAAAGTTTTCCTGATGTGTGCTGGAGAAACAGGGGCCATGAGGGGCGAATCAAAGAAAAAGACCGTGGGCTTGGAGGCCCTGGAGGGCCCTGGATGGGAGGCCAGGAACATGGAATTTAGACCAACCACCATGTACAAAAAGACACTGGATCCACAAATGAATATCATGGAGGATCCTGTGACCAAACCTGATAAGCTTGCAGGTGGTGGAGATGAAGTTGTGCTTTCCGATTGGCTAGATTGGGAGTCTGAAGAAGAGGAGGAAGATGGTATGGGTAGTAGTGATGAGGATGAGTCTGGTGATGATAAGGATGAAGAGAAGGATAAAGAGTCTCCTCAGGATGAAGAGGATGAAACGGAATGGAGTGATGAGGATTCAGACTGGTCAGATGAGGAAGGAGATTCTGAAGCATCTAGAGAGAGCACAGAGTTATGGGAGTCCTTCTTCAACAACAGCGACCCCTACAATCCACTCTACTTCTCCTGCCCCACTGGAGTCAAAACAAAGTCTACAGACACCACACAGAACTGCACAACCTCAAGGCCTCCAGTCAATGAGGTTGAGAAGACAACATCTGCAGATGTAGAACACAGTCCTGAGGAGAGCACAAAAGAAGGAACAAAGAAGGTAGAATTGCATTAATAGCTCAGTTCACATTATAGCCAAGTAGAACTGACTAAAATTAGGATTTTTGGGCATAAGGATCTGGAGTGCTTTTAAATATGTTACTTCTGATTAGGCAATGTTTACATTCACTTCACTCTGTATGCCAGTCTCTGTAGTTAAAGACTTTAAAAGTGCTAAAAACTGCAGAATGGACAGGATGGTCTCCAGTGACCGGCATGCTAGGAATGTTTCCTAAATAGAGATCTGTTTAGGAAAACTACTGATGCAGTGCTGTGCAGGTCATGAGAAAGAACAGTTCATGGAAGAATGAGTTTGTCATGACTAGTAGTCATGAGGCTTGTTTTCATGACAACATGATAAAGTATGTGTTGACAACACCCTTGTATGCCACACCCAATGAAAGGCTCAAATATGACTCACCATGTAAGAGATAGGTGTATATTTAGGCATTACTCTTTAGCAGCTAGAAAAGGCCTGTTTTTTTTTAAAGAACAACCAAGCAGTTCTGTCTAGAGAGCAGAGCAGGTGTTTCCAGCATGTTTATGGAGATCTACCAAGCAGAAGTTCATCTCCAGCCAGAATTCAACAAACTTGCTTTGAATTTAAATCATAGAAAAAATAAAATATTTTACTCACCTAGTGAGCTGATGTAGTCTGTAAACATTGTAAGAGTTTCAAGACTTGCTTTTTAAAAGGCCTACATCATCAGTTTTAAAGGTACAGTAACAAAAACAGCATATTTAGTTCTATGAAATTTGAGTTTTGTTTCATGTAAACTTGAATAATGACTGTTTTGGTGCATAAAACCTCAGAAATATCACATGGAATTTGGAAGAAAATGTTAAACACAAGAAAACTGTAGGACACAAGCGCTTTCAGTTCTACTTTGTGCCTTCTTATGTTAACAGGTGTGGCTGGTTGTAACACCATGATTCAACCTCTTTGACATCTTCTGAATTTGTTTCCTGAACTGTAGATGTTTTCATTCTCAGGTACGTTTCAGTGAGGAGGTAACAGTGCACCACCTGGTGGCCTGGAGCTCTGCCAGCGAGGCAGCACGAGATGGATCCTGCTGGTTGGAGCTAGCCAGAGACAGAGAGCGTTTCAGAAGAAGAGTAGAGAGAACTGAAGAGATGCTCAGCCCCTGCCTAACAGCAGAGCATAGAACCAGGGTTTGGGACCGACTTCAGAGAGGAGCTCAGCCAGAGCACTCCTAAAACATTTTACCATTCTACTGATTGTATTTTATACATTTCCTATTTTTACTTCCTGTTTGTTAAGGTTATTTTATACGCACTGTTTCTGTGGTGTTTTATATGCTATTTACCTCTACACATTGAAGTTACTGCACTACAATAAGCACTTTCCATTGATTGTATTAGTGTGACTTTTTTGCACTGTGTATATTGTTACTGTGTATTTCAGTTCATTCATTGATGTTATGTGAATCTTGTATGTAGAACAGGATCTGTTAACTATTTGTTTTTTGTTTCAATAAACATTTTTTTAGATGAACTGGAATGAGACATTGCGTTTCTTTCTCAGGAGGCATTGTCAGTCATCGGATGTGCTCACAGTGAGGAACAGCCTTTCTGTCCTCTGGGACTCGTCACTGAGAGGGGGTCAGTGTGTCCACTGAGGCTCATAGACTCAGAAAGTTACGGACAGATGTCCAAGAACAAACTGTCCCACAGAAAGCCAAACAAGAATGAGACATCTTAACACATTTGTCTGTATCAAGCTCCATTTTGACTAAAACATTGAAGTGATTCATTCTTATCAAGGGCGCACAGTGTCACTGATGCAAAGCACTGCTCTTAAAAAAAATTTGGCTACTAATGGCCCCCCTGTTGTGGAGAACTTTCAGCCTGCTAAACGAAAGATTTAGAAGATGTCCACAAAGCTTCTTAATGTAGGAGTTCTGATTTAGAATCAGATTAATGTCTTGTTTATGCTGATCTTACAGGAACATATACTAGATACGGGCCCAGATCCATGAGGTGGTTTGCATCTAAAAATAAATGTTCCTAAATGGTTCTTAGCTTTGATGTATAGGACAAAAACTTTAATTGGTATAGAACCTTTACAACACTCTGATGTTCTGAAACATTTAAAAATGTTGTTGACACATCTAAAAAATGCTTCTTTAAAAAGACACTGTCCAATAAAAATGTAACTAAAACTGCATTTGTTGTAAACATGCGTACTCACCTTCTACAGTGGAGTCACAGTAGTGTCTATGGTGTGATTTGCTGGTTGAAAGACCAGGAAAGCCCCTTTCTGATGATACTTCTTGAAATTGCAAGGGACTGCAAGCACTTTGGGGGATACACAAGGACAGGCTGTTTTTTTCCCCAACTAGCTAGCTAATACAGAAGGAAGCCGGACAGTTAACATTAAAACTACAAAGCCAAATGTCTGTATTTATAATCTGTATTTATTAGCCTCTACATCAGTGGGTACACTAGCATAAGAATTTCTTTACTGCCATGGGGAGATTCCTAATGGTTGTATGCCATATTTGCATAATGCATGCTGGGTATTGTAGTGAGAGATGGATGAAAACACAATAAAAGAAACAAATTTGTAAAGTTGATGAGGCTGAGGGATGCAATACTGTGTTACAGAATATTACACAATAGTACAAATAACATCTTAAAGACTAGTTTGAGACTAGAGTGCTCCTTTAAACAAGCATTCATTAAAAGGTTCTTTAGGGAACCAAAAGTGGCTCAGTGCTCCGGAGAACACTTTCTGGGCATCACTGTCACAAAGTCATCACCTCAATCTACACTGAACACTGATGACATGAAAACAACACTGCAGTTGGTAATATGAAACTTTTTTATTACATAAAATAAAATGCAAAAATACAGTCATTAAATGTTGTTCCAATTACAAACAGTCATTTGTCAGCAATACCTACAAAAAGATTAGTTACCAACAAGAAAAATAAATAGTCTTTGTATACTTGGTCCCTGTGTCACCTCTGAGTGACGAAACAGCAAAAAACTGATGAAACAGCCCCAAAAAACAGCCCTTCATGGCATTGTTTACCCTCAGTCTTCCAATCATTTTCTCATTTACAAAAGTAGAGGAAGCTGATTTAGTAATAGCTGTACAAAAACAGATTTAGATTTCACTGCTGAAACAGAGCTGATTCAGTCTCAGTAACACTGATGCTATGTTGTGGCACTGTAAATTTAAATTCTTGCAAAGGATGACATCACTTATGTAGAATGATTACTTCGGTCGTACTGCGGTCATCCTCCTCAGTCCATCATCAACCAGCCGCACACAAAATAGCAGAGTGATTTTAGAGCTTTCAGTCTCCATTCAAGTCTTTCAGCAAGAAATATGCTCAGAAACCCCTCATTAAACCCCTCATTGAACCCCTCATGAAGAAGAAATACAACCAACTAGCAAACATTAGATAAACATTCTCAGCAGAACATTCCTTTATATGCATTTCACCAAACAAACTTCCATGCAATCATTTATGAGCAGAGGCAATAGCTAGAATAAGTCCTTCAACAAAGCCTGCAATACAGTTTGCCAAAAGCACAAAATGCCTCCCTTTTTCAAAATCAAAACATCTGTGTTAAGCTCTGTTAAGGTATTAATACATATTAAATGTAACCCTTCATTAAGTGAGATCAAAGTTCATGTGACTTAGCTCAGCCCATAAACACCATTAAACTAAATATTAGTCCACCAAGTTAACAGCCATAGATTATAAAGGTATTAGTATCAATATTAATAAAATTATTATCTAATGTGAGGAAGAGCATTTGGCATAATTAAAGACATTTGCTCTTGGTTTAGATTCAGTCAAATGCAAAAGTTTGGGTGCCCCCAGTCATATAACATGTTTTGTTGATTTTCAAAAAGGAAAGAAATAAGTTAAAGGGGAACTCCACCAGTTTTTCCACAGATTGTCAAAATTTCTACATAATTAAATGGTTAAGATGTAAAATGATAAAGTCATTCAGAGTGGTCTGATGTGAAATGCTTCATTCTAGAGAAAGTTACTGAGTCAAAATTGTTCACAGTGGTAGTGACAGGAACCAGATGTCTGAAGAGTTAATGCTTCTGAAAGCTCCCTCAAACAGTTATTACATGAATGGGTTATGAATATTCTACGATATGAATGCTTTACAATAGCTGTATGATAAAGTCTTAGCCTAAAACATCTTGTTAATCCATTTATTTTAATCCATTTATGATGGAGGGGTACATGCAGGGTGTTGTCAGGCTAAATAGTCCAAAAAGAAAACGTCTTTTTTCAGAGTTTCCACTGTATTATCATCAACATTACATAAGTCAGAAGACACATGTAGATTCACTGGTTGGACAGTAAATCAAATGGCTATATTTGTGTGGTAGACATTGTGGCCCCTGGTTCCCATCAGCACCACTGTAAAGAAATCTAAGGTGGTAAGTTTCTCTACAACAAACTGTTTCACATCAGGCCACTCTGAATGACTTTGTTTACATCACAACAATAATATTATGCAAAAAAATTAAAAACTGGTGGATTTCCCCTTTAACACATGCAAAATAACTGTTTATTTGCAAAATGTAACATATGAATTTAACATAGGGGAAAAAAAACAAAGCATTTTTTGGTTTATTATGTACTTTTGCCAATTTGTAAAACTTGTTCTCTGTTTTCTGTAGAGGATGTGTTGACTTACTTTTACTTAGAAAATCAACAAAAGATGTCATGTGACTGGGGGTGTCCAAACTCTTGCATACAACTGTACTTTGATCCTGTGGATTGTTTTTAGCACATTGTACATGGCTATTTGGTAAAATACATCAACAACCAATTACTATAAACGTGCTCATTCAGTCATTTTTTTTATACATCTTTGCATATCTGTTAAAGATACACTGTAGAAGTGAACTTGGTATATACTTCACCATCAACACTCAGATAAGCAAGAGTAAAAACTTTTGTGCGAACAAACAATTATTTAATCCTCTGTGCTTTTAGAACGTACTTTGCTAAGGATAGTGTTCAGTACCGTGTAAAAGTCTTAGGCACTTGAGAAAACAATTTCGAATGCCGTTTATTCTGGGCAGTATGCATTTACGTGTTAAAAAAAAATCTAGCGTTACAAATGTAAAAAAAGTAAATAATATATTGTGATTTGATATCTGCCATCCAATAACAAGTTTATCTAATCAATCCTTCATTAAATTAAACCTGGTGTGCTGCTGGTGCACAGAGAAGTCAGGAACCAGACCTGTGTTCTTTTATGCCCTTCCAACCCACAAGTTAATAACTATAAGCTTTGTGGAAAAAAATGTTACATTTTACTATATTTATGTTTATTTGTATTTAATCTGAAGTTATACAGTCTTTTTACTGGCAAAGATAAACAGATTTACTGCCAAGATGAACAGTATTAATCAATGTTCTTGGTTGCCTAAGACTTTTGCACACTACTGTGGGTTTTGAAATCCAGTGTCCACACATAACAATAAAGGTTTAATTAGGTGCACTGCTGGTACGTAAAAACATTACAGCTTGAGAGACCGGACCTATTTATGCCACAGTCCAACAGGAGCATCCGAGTTTAGCTGTGCGCTTGTCCTGTGCTGTTAAACACAAATCATTTGTGCTGCCGCATCAGTTCATAACAAAACACGATGAGGTGTAGAGTGTAAATTATTATTAACACTGACAAAAAAAACATTTTTATCCTCAGTCTCCGAAAAAAAGTGCATTGAGAAGGTAGTAAATTAGACAGCACTGGACGGTCACGTGACCTTGATGGAGGGCTTCCGGTGAACGCACAGCAGGGTGACGTAGGGCACCCCAATGAAGGCCCACTTCTCACTGGGCCAGAATTTGACCACAGGACCCTGCTCTGGAGCCTCAGAAGCCGCATCGAAGTAAGCGAAGCACACACAGCCAAGGTAGGAGGCCAGGCAGATCAAAATGTGCCTACAGATTCAAATAACATCGAAAGAACTTGTCAAATATATCACCTAAATCAGAGACCCACATCTGTTCCTATAATTACAGTGTTTTCCAGTACTGCATGACAGCAGCTAGGTTTCCATTCAAATTAAATACCGCTGAAATGATGCAAAAGATTAGAACGCCTTTCCTATCTACATCATTCTGACAAAAACATTTCTGATAAATATGAACCGAGTCTACAGAGAATGCCTTAGATATGGGCAACATCCCACTGCTGTTTTGTTTAACTGTGCAGAAGTATTTTACACTGTAAAGAACATGGATAAGATAAACTTGCATTTTATTTCTTCAGCAGTCCACTGGTAACTGCCAGAGCCAGTTTAGGGGGAGTCTGGTCACTTCCTATTTGTCCCTGTTATATCAAAAAGGACTGCTAAATGCTACGGGGCGCCCACAATCAAGTCCTTAATGAAAAGGGCTGAATGGAGCTAAAAGGCTAAAAATGGAAAAATTTAACGTTTCTAACCATTTATGCAGAAACTTCGTTTAATTTTGGAGGATGTATTCTATTAAAAATTTTGAAGGATGTATTCCACTAAAAAAAAAAAAAACTTTCTGTTCTTCTATAGCAAAAAAGGTCTTGGGTGGCAGGACGCTTGCATTATTACTACTCAGTGCTGATTGAGTGGTAGGCATTTACAGGATAAAAATGATTAAGCATTTACAAACTATGTTTTGCTTGCGAGCACCCTGTATTATCTGACAAACCCGGAAGACATTATTGAGCGACAACTGTCCTCACTAGAAATTCTCTGGTATGTGCCATATCCTGCCATGTTTCGTAGCTACTGCCAAGCAAAAACAGGAAATACATCATTAGTAACATGACTTCATTCTATACAAATTTACGTTATTTATCTGACAAATGCGTTTCCATCATAATTTATCATGTTTCTTTTATTTTCAGCAAATAAGGTATCCACCTCAAGTAAGCATACAAACATTAGGCAGTATTATTCATTTCCATTTAATCCTTTTTATGCAGTATGTTAAAATAAGCATAAAAATACATGGATGGAAACCTAGCTAGTGTTCCACAAATATACTCTTGTAAACATTTACTGATGGACTTCAGTACTTGCCCCTTGGCTTTTGTTTAAAGTGAGTTTTGAGTTACAGGTTTTCAGATCTAAACACTACATTACAGATGCAGCACATACAGCTTAATTTGAAAAATGCTGGTTAAAGCAAGCAAATCACCAGACTGTGCTGGAACTTCAGCCCTCCAGCACCAGACATGAGTACCCTTCATCTAAACAAGCTACATTAAAAACCTGTTATTAAAAAGGTTTTTTTTTTTGTTACCTTGTAAAGAAAAGGCAACTTTATACATTTCTCATTCATATGTCACTACAGTGTGAAAATTACAGTGGGACTGGATGGATAAAGGCTTCCTCCTCTGCTAGTGAATTTTCAAGTGCACTCCATGGAAACGGGCAAGTGCAGTTACTGCAGATACAGTGAAGTGTGCTACTTGGGCTCTCTACATGTAATGTGAATGTGCATTTAAACATGCTGAGCGGATGCAGAAGTGGACTCACCAGGCGCAATGCAGGTAAGGGAAGTTGACTGACGACCACATCTCACAGAAGATACGGTCACTGATCCAGCACATCAGCGCCAGGGTCCACCAGAGGCCAGCCAGCAGACCCAGCTTAAACACGCGCAGGTTCTCACATCTGCCAAACAACACACAAACGCACAGGCATTCGGAAAGGCTCAGAGAACATACAGTTACTATTCAGAGGATATCTGTCAGAAAATATTAGGAATGCAAGTTTGATAGATTTTTTAAAATTTGTTTTAAAAAATTTGCTCCTGCACAGTTTTAATTTCATTTGATTTGCACTATAATGTTTTATATTTCAATGTTTTATCTTTCTGTGTAAAGCACTTTGAGATTCTGGAACTAAAAGAGAACGTGCTATATAAACAGATGGATAGAGAACAATGCTTCTTTACTTGAGTAAAAGTAGATGTACTCTTGGTAAAACTACTGGAGTAAAAGTACAAGTATTTTATCCGTCTATACTCGAGTAACAGTCCAAAAAACTTGCTTGTTAACAAACATCAAAAGTAAAAGTGCTTCACGTTATAGATCTTGTTTAGTATTGTTTAGAAAAACAAGTTCTATTAAGAAGATCTGTGTGACTGCAGATGAGAAAAAACTTTATATTTGTAGGTCTACTTAATCTTTTTCATTAAAATACTTCATCAAATACTTTTACTTGATAATTAAAGTACGTTTACTCAAGTAGTACTTTACCAAAAGTACATCTACTTTACAGTGTTGTTGTTTACAAATTGAATAACTGGCACTGGTGAACAACTCAGCAGTTTAAATGTCATCTTATTGAGCACAGCAGAATACTTTACTCTGATAGACTGAGCTCCTCTGTCTGTTTTCTGTGCATGCACACACAAACAAACCCTGAGCTGACGCCTCTGAATATCCACGTCTCTCAAATTTCACATTAGGCAAAATGGCAGTGACATAACACGTGCGTCAGTGCGAGCTGTTTTGGCTCATTTAGCTGACTGTGTATGCGCTTGTTACTGAGGGCTTTTGTAAATATTCACAGAATTTCTGGGTCACATGAGGTCAGTCATTTTTTACACTTGAAGAAAGTATTGCACAATTCCCTCTCACAAGGAACACAGATAAAGCACTCCACTGTCCCAGTACACCAGTAATACTACAAGAACAACAGCCTTCAGAAAGAGAAGGAGAGAAAGGGAGAGGGAGAGAGGATCAAAAGTAAAAGTACTTTTCTGATACACACACAGATCAACAGAGACAGAGAGAAAAGGGAAAGAGGATAGGCAGAAAGAGAATGAGAGAGGACACAGAGAGATAGAGAAGGACAGAGAAAGAAAAAAAATAGAGCGAACAGAAAAACAGAAAAAGAAGGAGAGAAAGAAAAGAACAGAAACAGAGAGAGAGAGAGTGACAAACAGTGACAGAGAGAGATGAAGAAGGGGAGAGAGAGAGAGAGAGAGAGAGAGAGAGAGAGAGAGAGAGAGAGAGAGAGAGTGTGAGAGGGAGAGAGAACAAAGCTTGTTCTCTTGTGCAGGTGTAACTCTGGTGTTCAGTGAGTGCGCTCCAGTGAGCAGAGTGAACAGTGCTGTAGGTGGTGAAGGATACTGTCAGCACTGTTTAAAGGTTTAGTCAGTGTGTCAGACTGCATCTCACAGCTACTGGGAATGTGCTGATTCAACAGCTTGATAACGGCTGCTAAAAAAACACGTTCAGTTTTAAACACACTGCAAACACATAAAACGCAGTTTCACACATAGCGCTTCTGTCTGCATGCCACTCATTACCCACTACAAAACCGCAGTTGCTCTGTGTTAACAGTGTCCATGAACTCTTAATCCAACTTCTCAATAAAATCAATCAATAACTATATTTATCACGAATTTCTCATTAAGAATATTTCCATTTATACAAGTTTTTCAAGGTGCATTACTCTTCAGAAATTCAGAATCACAAACAAATTACTTGGCTATTCCATCTAAATATCTAAACAGATATGAAAAACATGAACCTGAGAAGAAAAAAAAACAAAAAACTGACTTTTCAATCCAAAAAAGGTTTCATGTTGTCACTGTCCCTGCACAAGATACTACAGCAATCAAACAGGACTGAAAAAAATTCACATTAAATACACAAAAACTCATCTCACATGTCTCAATAATCCGTAATGCTGTGAAGCATGAAGCAGTCCAAGGTTTACTAACAGTCAAGAAAAATGATAAGGACCTTTTGGTAGCATTCCCTTTTGCATCCTTCAACATTCCAGCACATGACCTCTAACAGAATTCCTTAAATTCCTTTAGGAAAACTGGTGGCGCCAGTGTGGTATCTGTTATCAATTGTGTGTTGACCCCAAAAAATCTTGAGACACAGTGCTGACAATAACGGAACACAGACTTTTTGGCCTGCCAAAAGCTCTAGCAGTGAGAGAACAGGAAGATGACATAGGAAGGAACTAAGAGCATGAGAGCCAATGAAAACTTCATCAGCAAGGGTGTGATGCCTAGACAATAAACTGCACAAAAACAACAGAAAGAACAAAAATGAAGGATACTAAAATGCTTGGCACCCTAACTCTTTAATGACAAGGCTAAAAAAGCATCTATTACTTACCAAATTTAAGAACATGATTTCTCAATGCTCTCAATGTTATCATCTATAAGAAACATAGGAAATGACCTTGGTAGTTGATTAGCTAAACTGGCTAAACTGGCACAATTACAGATATGCTTATTATTGTGCATTGTCTAAATCGAATAAACAAACACAAACCTAACAAAGCCAAAATGTAGTACATTTTTTATTTTGTTTGCATCATAAACAACTATTCTTAGAAAGTAAACAAAGGCAAAGGAATATACTTCACACTTTGCATTGTTAATCTGATAAAACAGATCAATAGTAAACCCCTCAGCAATCTGAATTTCACCCTGAACGTGTGAACACACTCATTCAGAAATGATGGATCCAAAAATAGAGGCAGCACAGTGCTTCTTTTATACAGTGATAGAAAACATGGTAGCACACAGATGATAACGTGTCTTAATGCAACATTTTGGCCAAGCATCAAAAGATCCTAATACTCAGTAGTATCATGGTTTATGGAGACATGGAGCTCTTAGAGAAGACAGCTTCTATACAACAAGGTTTATATGGTGCATTACTGTTCAAAAGTTCAGAATCATGTGTCATATTAGCAACTGCTGTTATTTTATTTTGTGATAATTTATACACTGTAGATATGAAATACTATATGAGAGCCAACAGAATACACTGTCATTTATAGTCATCTAGTATAATCTAACACTTTTTTTTTACACCTTACAAATTAGATGAACCTTATAAAGTCATAAATTACAAGAATGTTAATACAATCACGTAATAAATGTACCTGCACCAAACTGGTTTTATATTACCAAAAACCGTGATTCCAAACTTTTGATAGGCAGTGTAGATTTTATAAATAGAAACTGGTGTGCGGGGGTAAACCTAAACATAGACAGGTTTGAGATAACCATGCACACAGCCATGAAAATGTAACATAACCCCTCACATACACTTTCTAACTTGCACATGTGTGACCTTATCACAGGCTTTAGTGCATACTGTGTGCTGCTAAATTGAGAAAAGTGAAGCAGAAGTTGGACTACACTTCCTGTTTTGATGAAAACATCACGTTATATATATAGAGAGAGTCAGCGAACAAACGGGTTAAAACAAATCAGAATTGAAAGTTCTGGTCAAGCCTGAACACTGGACAAAACAATTTAACACAACACAAGCACCAGTAATGCACTACTTAAGTAACATATGACTTATTCTTCTGCATACTGCATTTACTCTAAACGTGAGCCAAGTTTGATCAGTCAGAAATAAATGAGGAGCACCTCAGTACTGTTTATGAGATCTTTAGGGGAGTGTTTCTCCTTCTATACAGGGATGTACATTCACTGCATGCAGGTATAGACAGCACAGAGAGACTGTGTTGCATATGAAGGTATATTCAGCTATGCACTATATAATTGGAGTTTTATATAAAAGTATGAAATGAATGTTCTTAAATTACCTTAACTAATAATGAATTTTCTAACATATTTAAACAAAATAAATCAATTAAAACTAGCCTAGGCATCTGTGAGTCCTGATATCTATGATTCTTGAATAGGTTTTAATAGCGGTTTGACTGATACAAAACATGTCAGTTCATAATTGGACATGCTAAAACATTAAATGTATAATGGAACATAAGAGAAAGCTCCAAGATAATGTAGGAGCCTATATGTGTGCTGTAGCTGGAACACTGACCTCTTAAGCTCTGTGATGAGAAGAGCTGTGCATGGGATTCCCAAGGTCATTAATGAGATTGAGTTAATGGCCGGCTTTATGAAGGCCAGGCCAGTAGTGATCCCTGAAAGAATGCCTACGACCAATTTAAACCTTGACCTGGTGATATAGAGAGAGAGAGAGAGAGAGAGAGAGAGAGAGAGAGAGAGAGAGAGAGAGAGAGAGAGAGAGAGAGAGAGAGAGAGAGAGAAAAAAATGCACCATATCAGCATACAGGTATAAAATGTACATTATAAAAAAGGATTATTTCAGTTCTAAAATCTGATTGGCTGAGACAGGTAACATATAATATAATGAAATATTATAATAACAGTTCTTATGTCCACACTAAAAAAAGATCCTCATTTAGCGGTCCACAGTTGTTTAGCAACTCTAAATAAACTTCACTTCTCAGTTAAAGAACTGTTTAAAGAGATTATTCTTCATAATAAATCACAGTATTACTAGGTTTGTACCAATCATGAATTTTTACGGCTGATTCTGAATCCTTAATAGCCAAATTGGATGATGGATGAATTTTTATTAGCATTTTTTTTTTTGCATGCAGTAGCACTAACATTACTCTTAACTAGAACTAAGGGGCCAAGCACAAACCCTGAAAAACAGCCCCAGACCATTATTCCTCCACCAAACTTTACTGTTGTCACCGTGCATTCAGGCAGGCAGCTTTCTCCTGGCACCTGACGAACCCAGATTCTTCTATCAGACTGCCAGATAATGAAGTGTGATTCACCACTAGAGAGAAGATTTCTACTGCTACAGATATACTGCTTCAAATACAGCGTGAATGATCTTACCAGACATTATTAACATCTAAAACTGCAAGACAGATAAACCAAAATAAAAATAATAAAGTGACTGTTTGCAGATGATGTATTTGGATCAAAAATCTGCTGATTCCCATTTTACCTGATTCAAATTGTGCACCCATAATTATTTCTTGAACATCTGTGTAGTTTATCATATTTTATGTTGTTGGAATATGAGCATCTTCACCTGTCTCTACGGAATATCCTAGGAAGGTATCTCTTGGGGAACCACATGCCAATGGCACACATAAGCACCCACAGTATTGCTAATTCATCCAGCATCTGTCCCAGGAAACTCAGTGTAGCATGGAAGTAAGTGGAGCCAATCCCTGCACAAGAGAAACACAGGATGAATGTTCAGGATGAATTGCAAACATGACACGTCAACCCATCTCTCAAACGAAATGAGTGGGAGCACCGTTCTGACAGTATAAAAGCTATGGCTTGTTCTGTCTGTTTTCATTTGAGACCACCCAACAAATGAAAACTGATGCTTTAGCTGAACCATTTGTGTGGAATCTGTTGCACAACATTTGTTTTATTCTTGCAGCATAGCATTCATTTGTTTCTCTTCTTGCAGCACACTGACCCATTTCTTTTCCTGTTTTTAATTTACATAACTTCTCTCACATACACAATAATACAATACAGGCTTCCCAAATTGTGTTCGATATACATACATTTGAGGTTTTGTTCAGACAGTGACTCACTGAGAGATTGCTAAGTGATAGATAATAACAGTGCACAAGCAATACAACCATCATCTAGTGCTGATTCAGCACTCTTCTGCACAAATGTAGGTCAGTACTGCGTTTTACTCTCATAACCCATGAATAAAAATCACTGCCTTTAAAAAGAGGCTGATCTGACACTGTTTGTTCAGTGCAAATCTGCACTTTCCCAAATGCAGCTATGATTAGTAATCACAGCACATCTAGAATGCTGCCTGTATCAGCACTCCTCATCTCTTTGGCTCTACAAATCAGCCTTGAATAAAACGTTTCCAATCCTGATCCCTTAAATAAACCCTCTATAGATCATGAGGGTGAGAGGGACATTTCTGAGGTAACAAAAGGTCACCAATCCCCACAGAGTTGGTAAAAAAAAAAAAGGTAGATGAATCGAAGTATGTGCACAGAGCCGCGTTTGTGCTGAGTTGGCTAGTTTCCTATGCAGTCACTGTGCTGATGTTTTATGGACTCAGCTGTCATCTGGCTCACAGCACCAATGAGCTACAGTCAACCATTATAAGAAAAAGTGTCAGACTGGTGTCAGGTCAGCAACCGCAAGCAAAACGACTGACGCTGTGCTGATAAAATCTCGCCTAGAATCAGCTCACAAAAGGCGACAATGACACTAACATTAGAGGGAACCTCATTTTGCAAGCTGCAAAATGTGACAGGGCTTCCCTTGTTTCCCCACTGAGCACCAACAAAGACACTGAGAGGTCACTGTTCTCACATGTGGGATATTTTAGTCACCTAAAGATTTAAAGGTTGTTTTTTTTCCACAGCTGACACAGGAAAACGCTTTGTGTGTCTTACCATATACAAGTCAACGAGTGAGAACATCAGCGGAGAAAAGAAATAATTCAGTGAGAGAGCAAGAGAAGCAAGTATGAGCTGGGAGAGATACTGGACCAGCAAATGGAGTTGAATGCATTTCAAATGGACTTTGCACTAAAACTGAACTTCCCATTTTCTCCAACAACACAGACACTTTAATTAGCCCACTAACGTCTATGTGTACATCTATTTTTAGACTTACTTTGGTCCATACAGAATATATTTCTCTCAAGTTTGATAAGCTGGAACAATAAAATAACACCACTAGTGTGACATCAAAACAAACAAACAAACAAAAACAATTATGAAATTGTTTAACATTTCACAACATGCAATGAATCGAAGAGGTTTAATTCTGCGGCTCCCTTTGTAACGAAACATGCAGTTGTTCAGAGTTCTTTAAGCACTAATGCTATCAACAATATGCTCAGAAAGGGGTTTGTGACAATTTATCACAATAACAATAAAATATCATAATATTGCCACCTCTACTAAATGTGCATCAAATCAATCAAACTGTGTGGGTAAAAAGTGACTTTCATTTAGAAATTATTTTTTACTGAAAAAACAAAAAATCCAAATGTAGAGTCAGCCTACTGTTACATGTTTGCCCAACAAAAACATCATCACTGTAGACCCACTAGAACAAGCTGTGGCATTTTTCTTCTCATATTAAATTTAGCTCTTGGACACAAATGGGTTTGCGGAGGAACTCCACCAATTTTGTCAAAATTTCTGCATAATTAAATGGTTAACATGTCAACAAAATCTTTCAGAGTGGTCTGATGTGAAATGCTTTGTTCTAGAGAAACTTACCAAGTCAGAAATGTTCACAGTGGTGGTGATAGGAACCAGACGTCCACCTCTAAAAGACCCCTCACAGAAAGTTATTACATCAAATGGTTATGAATACATTGCTTGGTGACTAAGACAATGTTACATGGTAGTTGTGTGATAAAGTTTTGGTCTAAAAACTATTTTAATCATTTTCTTTTCATCCATTCACAGCAGAAAGATACATGAAGGCAAAATAGTCCCCAAAGACTATTTTTTTTCCCAGGTTGACCATTATTTTACCATCATCAGCATTACAGAATATAAGATCAGAAGAAATCTGAGTTGGCAAGTTTCTCTACAAATGAATTATTTCACATCAAACCACCCTGAATGACTGTATGTATGTATGTATGTATGTATGTATGTATGTATGTATGTATGTATATATATATATATATATATATGTTAACCACTGAATTCTGCAGAGATTATGAAAAAAGTGTGATTCCCCTTTAAGGCATGTTCGCCCATCTTTACAGGACAGAGAGTGATTTGCTAAAGCCTCATCTCCAAGCCTCAATCTTAATTCTCCAGACAGAGAGACAGGCAAGCGCAAAAAGATGAAGGGTCACTCTCTCCTGCTCTGCCTCCCGTTAAAAACACACATGAACTCGGCTGCTCCTGTGCGCGAGCTTCTTCTGAGGGGTTACTGTAGATCACAGAATCTGATCTGAACTTACCGACCACCACCAGCAGTGTCCATATCAGATAAATCCCACTGTTGAAATGAGTTGCATACTGGCGAAAAAGACACATCAAAATAGGTGGCAGAATGAAAAACAGAATGTTGCTTATCTAAAAGGAGAAAGAGAGAGCAAAAAAATCAGCCAAAGCCACTGAGTTTTCAGGTCACAGACGGGCCCTATAGTTAGACTAACACGCTGACGTGAGCCACTTTTGTCTTAACCCTGAACTGTGACAGGCACGTCGACAAACCTGGTCAAAGTTTCACGACTGCACTAACTAAATGACAATAAATAAATAAATAAATAAAATAAATTAAAAACAGGCTAAATTTAGGGCTACAGTTAAAGTCAAATTATGTGAATTATGAAGCAAAGTCAGTCCAAAACCACGTTAATCCTCCAGTCAGACAACAAAGCCGTAGCAGCAGTAGCGCTGAGGAAGCAGCGAGGCTAAAGTTGGCTTCCTACTTGCCAGCTTGTTGATCGAATTTTCCCGTTCGACCTTAAATGGTGAAGCAGCCCGAGGCGCCAGAACGTAACTGCTGCACCATTTAAGGTGGAACGGGAAAATTCGATCAACAAGCTGGCGAATAAGAAGCTGTCTTCTGCTTCTTCGTGAGGAAAAAGGCAGACAGCCTGTTATCGTCGTACCGTGTTATAAAACTCCGCTATTCCAGAATAGATCAGATAATTCCCCTCACACCAGTCCACCTCCGAGCTTCCAGCTTGGAGCTGATTCCAGAAAAGTACATTCATGTTTAATCGCGTCACTCAAAGCCAACAGCAGCTACCACAGCCGCCTACTTGGCCAGATACGCGATCTACAAACTGGTGCAAACGAGATGAGTGTCGACTGAAGCAGGATCAGTTCAGCGCTAAGTTAACGGACGCAGGCTAGGAGTTCTGGATTGACAGCTCGACCTCGACGGGACTTAAAGTGTTTCTGAACCGCGTCTGCGTTTTGCTCAGTGATCTGTGGCTAATCGCTTCGACCGGTCTTGTCATCTTGCTGTCCAGCTGAACTGTGGGGCAGCTCAGAGCAGCCGCTCTCTTCTCATTCCCCTGCACGGCGCTCACAACAACAAAGCAACATGTGATCCGCGCATGCGCACCGCCGGCGACATTCTCTGCTGAAGAACGACTCACCGCACAAACCAGCGAGACAGTCACTGAATCAATTTCAATGAATCGGGCCTCCGATTCGCCAGCCGCTCATGAATTCGCAGATCAACTTTGCTCTCAAATGAAAGAGGGCGCCCTTAATATTTTCAATTGGGCTATGCTTTTTTAGGTTAAGTTTTGATAGATTATTTTTCAGTTTGCTACACGAGTGTAGTACCCGATTCGATTCAGTTGGAACCTATGAATCGGCTCCAATGGTTCAAAGAACGATTCGTTGACGAGGCAGTAATCGGCCAGATTGTCCTACAGGTAGGCGTAACACTAAAATAACTTGCCAGGAATCCTTACATAAACACATTTCAGTAAAAGAGGCATTTTTAGTGTTGCTTCATGAATTTGGCCTATGGACTGACGTTTTGAATAGATTTTAATCAGTTAAGTCTACATTTAAACGAAGAGAACAATGACTACGTTTGGTGTTACTTAGTCAACCGCGAAATATTTCCAAGGTGCAGGTGCTTTCGGCAGGAACAATGCTTATTTTCCAGGAAATACCAAAAGTACAAAACATATATCCAGAGAATGTACCTTTACTCAGGACGGAAACGCCATATAAAGCCAGTAAATATGTTTACTGAGACACTGACGTTGCTGAAGTTCCTGTGAGGAATGAAAAACAAGGTCAACCGGTGCAAGGCCAGTCCTAAAGCATGGCTTCACTTAAGTGCCTATATAGAGGATTAAAAAATAGTGATACATCCATCACATGGTCCTTATATCTACAAATATCCTGTGTTGGGTTTATTTTTATAAAGAAAAAAAAACTGGCAAAATGGCCTTGAGACCAGTTTAAAGTTTGTGGTTTGGGGGACAGGTAGATTAATCCATCTTTACAGATAATGATACACGTTAAACATTACACACTTAAAAAACTGGTTCTTTTCTCTTTACTAAAGAACCCTTGAAGAACCATCTTTTTAAGCGTGTACTTAATGAAAGCTTCTAAGTTACCTGTAACAAACTACTAGTTCAGCAAAACATCTGTGGCAACAGCTGGAAAACAATGATCAAGCTTTGTTCATATGTAAAAAGTGATAATTACTTACTATATTGATGGTAACAATGTTTACTTCTGCTCATTTTTCCCCCCAAATAAATGTCGAATTCAAACGAATAAAGATGCAAAGGATGAAGTGATGCAGCATAAAATCAGGACAAAGCATGTTTATTGCAGGACAACTGAATGTAAAAATTCACACTCATTCCACAGGACGGTAGAGGGCAGATGAACAGGCTTACAGAACGCTCTCCTGCTCAACAGAATCAGATCCTAGCCCAGAAGGTCCTCATTTGTCATGGTTTAACCACCATCCTGGATTTCTCATGGATGCAGGACAATCACTTATCCATTAGTATTTCTGTTCTGACAATACCAGGATTTGATGCTTTTAACAGGAGAGGGTTAGTTTTGCACTGCCTGGAGAAAACCAAATACACTGTACACAGTTAAACAAGCAGGAACTGCTTGGAGTTAAAAAGAATAACTGCAGTTAATGAAGCAATTGTATATCAGCTGTGTAAAGTACAGTTGTTCAAAAAAAAGTCTGTTACATAAATACGTTAGTTGGTTTCCCATCTTTAGCAAATGATTTTCACTGTGATTTACTACAGCGAACACAATGTAATGATATATTTGAGGTTGGAATGTTATTTTCTGCATTTGGGACAGGGGTAGAGCAACTACCTCTCGTTTCAGCATTTATTCTAAAATCCTTATTAAGCCTGATCCTGGATCAGTCTCTCCTTTCCATTTAATCATATTGATTAGGATAAAAACAGATTACCGTGTTGGACGTCAGATCAGCACTGTCTAAAGTGAGTGGTCAATGGAAATCCATCACATTCATTCATTCATTTCACCCTAATACTGGGATTAAGTCACCAAATTGATTACAATGTTACATTGCAAGTGTGTAAACAACATAATGTAGAAACCGTCCAGAGAGATCTTCACTATCCCATTTTCTTTCATGAGTACATTCAGTACATACACACATGCCCTGATTCAGTTCACATAAACTGTGTGGGGGGTGGGTTCTCATAGGGAAAGAACTTGCATTTACTGGGTTCATCATCATGAGAAAAAAAAAATACACATAGATTTATAGATACTCGTGGCTAGAAACAGTGGTTTTTGTATTACAACCAGTTCCCCTTTATACACATCTCGTTGCACAATTTGATTTCTGAATCAATCATATATCCACATTGATTTCATACTTCAAACAAATCTGACTTATTTTACAAAGACAAAGACAGACATGGGACAAGGCTGTATTCACATGAGCTGTCAAAGAACTAAGCGATAAAAGATAAGAAAAGATATGATAAATAAATTAAGGCAGACTGATTGCACTCTATGGTGTTAATTTATTAGTAGTAAAACCTACCTTGACTAACTAACAAGGCACAAGAACTACTAAGATTCAAATGATCATCTTTCTACAGAAGTTTATCAACGTCGTCCATCTCGAAGTCACTTAAACAGAGTGATAGCAAAATGGACATTAAGACTCGAGTATGCATTTGTATGCAGCAATAGCATAAAAGGTTATTAAAAACACCGTTAAAAAATATTGACAGATATTTGAGGGATGCCGTACATTCTCACTAAGGTCCGACCTCACGCTTTCCTTTTCTGTGAAGGAAAATGGTTTATATACAAATATGGAGGGATTATGAGCGTTGTTCAAAATGATCATGACTTTATTCAAGATGATTATGTCTGAATGAGAGAAGGAGAATTCTTCCATTTCAGTAGTTAAACTGCCAAGCTCCCAATGCAATTCATTCTTTTTCCCCCCACAACAGAAGTAAATTTCAATTTAGATTTAAGGTCCAAAGGTGTATAAAATGTAACGTCCAGTGGAAGAACTTCACTGTCTGTTACAGAACCTGAACTCATCACCTTACTGCCTTGTTAACCTCGTTAAGAGTTTCTTTAGCTTCCTGGTATAATGATGTGATTGTCCGTTGCCTCAGTATGTCTTTCCCAATGTATGTTGAACAAATTTACATACATGCACACACTCCCTCTCTCTCGCACACAGAGAATCACACCTTGCGCTGTGACACTGAAGACCCTCACTGATAACACAGGCTTTAAGTTTAAGACCGACTCCATAGAAATCTAGGTAAAGATCCCTCACACTGAAAAAGGCAGCCTAGTCCTGATATCCCATCATAGAAAAATATATACAAACAAGAACAGAGACAGATAAAGCAATCATTTTTCAAAGTGCACATCGTATAAGACCATCGCAACTGATATCTCGAGAGAACACAACTCCATTTCCACTGGACTCCTTCCACAGGTAATGTTGGAGGGAAAGTTGGGGACGCAAGGCAGTGTTTGAGGGACTGAGGGATTTTCCACTCTATTTAGTTCTTAACTTCACTTCCACAGGTCCATGGACATACACAGATCAAGCTTTCATCATCTGAAGACATTTAAAGACTCACGCCAATAAATATCTACCTGCTACATATCTGGTTCTGCTAAACGCTGCAGAAAGCAGGCACTGAACCAAACTCAAACATGTTTTTGGGGGATGACAAAGTACCATCTTTGGGTGATGGTGCAAACAATTCTTCTCAATGCGCTGTCCTGCCCCTCTCACACACTGAGCTTTAGACTGATGGGGAGGATTTAAGAGAGCCCCTTATAGCCACTAAGGCTACGTCAAATGAATGGCGCTCCAAAGCACTTGAGACACCACTGCACACTATTGGAAGGTGGTCTGTCAATGGGTGAGAGAGCTTTCAGCTGTTCGGGGCTCAGCTCGTCAAAGGCTAGACGATACTCCCGATCGAAGGCCTCTGTAAGCAGGAAACACAAAAGGTGGTGCAGAATATTAAGCACTTGAATGCCTGGAGCGATGCCAGGATTTTTTATTCAAGGGTAAAGGAAGCAAAAGGGTCCAAATCTCTCAAAAAAAAATAAACACACTGTTCTAAACCAGCATTTACTCACCAATATCAATGTTTTCTCTCCCCAAGGCCACCAGTGAAAGGAACAAGATCTCCCTGTATACACTCCTAAAGATGAGGAGAAAAATATAAAGGTTTAAACATTCCATTAGCAACAGCCACTTTTCCATTCTTTTAAAATTTTCTGAGAATTTTTTTGTAAGTAATAAACTACTGACGTGCTTTGCATTAAAACATATTTGTAAAGACTAATACCCATCCTCCAAACTAATGCTAAAAGTGGATACTGAAACACTTTTCGCCCACAGTTGAAAGGTTTAAATGACATCAAATTAAGAGAATATTGACATTATTCCCAAAATAGTCCTGTTGTCAGTTGTCCCTTCAGTTTCATAGTTTTTTCAAAGAAAATCTAATATAGCTAAACAGCTTCTATTTAAGAGGTAATTTATTGTTAAATGATAATATGCACAGTTATTAAAAACATTTTGAAAAGATCCCTTTTGGGGTAGTTTAGACGACGTGTCCAACACTGAACTCTCACCTCTGCCGTTTGATATCTGGGCGTCTCTTGATTTCCCTAAGTAATAAGTTGATAGGGCCATAGACGTCATTCGTCTGGATGCTCCTAACAATGCTGTTCAGTAGTGCCCGTATCTCCTGGTGGTCAGTGGGGCCCAAAGACCCCTTCATCTGCACTGGAGGCGAGATAAAGTGAAAAAGATTCAAAAGCCACACAGATAATGTCATCTAGTCAAAGCCAAACTACTGCGATTAAATCTGAGGGTTTTTTTTTTTATCTTATGCAGATACAGATGTATCCATGCTGATTTGTGTGAATGAATCTGAACTGTTAGGGTACATCAATTGGCTCCAAACCATTATTACAGTCACCCCGTGGTACTCACAGAAGGTCCTCCAGAGCTGGTAAAGCGGGTCGGTGGGCTCCTGGTGCAGGTTGACATTGTCCCACAGCAGCTGCACATACACCTGTTTACTGTCCTGAGGCAAGGACGTCTGTGGAAGCTACAGAAGACACAGATAAGAGGTAAATTAGTGTAATTTCATCAGATGTACTACAAAGCGAAGCAGTGCTGGCAATTAAACAAAGGAAAGACTGTAAACACTGAATAGTTAAAACAGAATTCCTTTCTGATGTATTCTGGAGCATGTACTGCAACATAACAGCTAGGAGAGATAAGCCATAGAAAAAAAGCAGAGGTGGTAGGGAAACTTGGACAACAAAGTGAAAAGTACATGAACCTGTACACCGTTGTTGCAGTGTTCAGAGGTCAGTATGAGTCCAGGCAGAATACTGGGTACGTCCAGTCGGCGGAAATACCATACCAGGTTCCAGAAGATGATAGGGTGCTGGCTGAGGAACTTCTGAGTGTAGATCACCTGAATATAAAAATAAGGAGTGAAGGCTACAGACATAAAAAAATGACTGTACAATAAAAAAAAACAATTAAATAACATTAACAAATAATCTAAACAGCTTTAAAGATCTGTTGGTCAAAGAATAAGTACCTGATCTCCTTCATTCTCCAGTAAGGACTCCAGCTCTTTTCTTAACACCAGAGGGCTGAGGTAAGGCACAGACACTGGCTTTGGGTTGGGCCGCTTCTGACCGAATGTGTCCTGAGATATGAGAAAACTTCAACTTAAATAACATGTTTCTATACATGAGATTATGCAGAAACATGCAGTACTGCTACTAAGGGGTTTGCATTAAATTCTGACATTTTATTCAGCCCATAAAAATAGACAGTGTCCCTCAGTTTACATCACCAAGATGTATGTATTTTTAAAAAGGTTAAACATTATTGGATTTTTCCATACCAACTGAAATGTCAAAAACAAAAATTCTGTGGCAGCACTCACCACTACCTCCTGCAGGCTGTTGGGGAGGCTGGTGGTAGAGATTCCGTGATTGGGCCGCTGGGCTGAATCCAGGCTCTGCAGAGGCCCACCTACACTGTTGCTGCGGGTCAAAGAGGTGCCACGCTTCTCTGCCTGTCTCTCCAGCAGACCCAGGGGGTCTGAAAGCACTGGCTCTGGCACAACACTGAGCAAGCACATAGATTCAATAAAAATGGCACTGTGCAGTGAAGAGGAAACAATCTGTTGATGTAAATATACATCAATGGAACCTAGCATTCAACAGTGAGCATAAATCTGTCTTTGTAGAACAGTGAAAACCATAAAATTGTGCCAAAGCATTCGACAACAGAGAATGTGGCACTTTCGCCGTGCAGCCAAGGCCCTGCTAGCCTTAACTTGGCACTGGTTTCTAAATGATGTCTAAAGCTACTTTTGATATTCATGAATAACTGTAATATATTTTAAAATGTGGCAAGTGATAATTATCATCATATACATAATATACACGCAAAAGAATAAATATGTGAATGGTCACTGGCACCATGTGGGTTGTTACGCTGTTCTTTATTTACTCTTCTCAGCTAAAACGTGCCTAATGGATTTATGATATCTTGGTCAGTATGATGCAATGTAACATCAAAAACCAAACATGATGATACATTTGCAACCATAAAAGTGACGTGATCAAGCAGAAGCAAACAGATTCTTTATGTCAGTGTTATGATAGATATATGTACTACACAGTCCTATATGTGCAACATAAATGTAAAATACACATTTGATGTAAATAACATACACTTTCGGTGCTCCACTCTGGTCAGTGAGTGTCTCTTCATGTTCGTCTTTGCCTTCAGGGGGATCTGAGAAGCTGATGAGGTCAGGGGGGTCACTGGGACTGCCCACCTTTACTTCTGATGAGGTGGAGGCTGTAGGCTGTGTGCTACTACTGTGGATACTGTCCCCTGAAGTGCTAGTCTTCAGATAGAACCTGGGTTCACATATACAAAGAACAAGAGTCAACAGACCTCATTATCACTGCTGTAAATGGGACATTTCGAAAATTGTACTGAACTTGACAGAAATTATATAAAAGGAGACACTTAAGAAGACTTGCTAAAAAAATTAAGGTGTCTCAACTAAAGTTTACTAAAGCTAAATATTTGAATATATCTTTGTTACAGTCAATGATCAACTGTAGACCTTACATTCTAAGTTATCATGACAATATAAAGGTCTTTGGACACAGTGAAATTTGTTCAAACGACAACATATCTACTCGAACACATAATAACTGATATCTAGCAAACCAAATGTGATTTTTCACATGATGAAAACGCACAAATATTTTTTTTTTTGCAAATTTTCACTTGTGACATGAACTCAGTCGACCAATTATCGGTGTCTCTAGCAATAACCAAGATAAATCATTGCCTGTGTCCCAACAACAAGAACTTTTTGACAAACAGTGAAAAGTTATAGGTTGTCCTCAGCTTCACCTTGTATTGTTCTAGAATCTCCAAAGGTAACTTAAACTGGGCCACAGGCAACTACTCAAAGTTTCAGCTCCTGAATAAGGCAGTGAAACTCTTCGTTCTCCTTTCACTTTTCCAGTACTATAAGGAGTATTTGTCCTTTTTGTGAGGACAAATCCCAAAAAACTGCAATGTACCTGGACCGCATAGTTTCATTGAGAAAAAATCTTTTCCAAATATGTGCCATTTATTTGTACCAAAAAACCCTACATGATACTTATTTCCTTATTTTACGCTACACGTCCGAACATTTGTAGACACCTGTTCATTTCTTCTGAAATCAAGAGTATTAATAGGGAGTTTGTCTCTCATTGCTGCAAAAACAGCTTCTGCTCTTCTGGAAAGGCTTTACATTAGATGTTGGAACATTTTTGTGAGGGCTGACTGCATTCAGCCACAAGAACATTAGTCCACTCAAGTCCTAATGTTGGATGATTAGTCCTGGAACATTATACACCCATCCTAAAAATACTGAATAGTGCTCATCACTACAGTGAACACAGTTCCAGTGCTCCACAACAGAAGGGGAGTCTGTACACTTTTGGACACAGTTTATGTGGCTACCATTGCTAAGCCCTGATTTGGATTTAACACCTTACCCAGGTGTAGTGCGCAGGTCATGGAACTCCACATGGAGCAGGGGCAGGAAGGCGATCTGGCAGAAAGGACAAGTGGTGTTCAGGTTAGAGTCATCCGCTGTCCAGCCCGCCATGATCTCCTCATCATACACCAGAGCCTCACAGGAGCGACACTGAGAACAGCTGGACATTAGTACCTATGAGAGAAGGCACACAAACATCTTCATGAGACAAAATGTAAGATAAGAGTCATTATATTTTCATGGATGATTACAGGAAAAAAAGAACTGTGTCTTTAAAATGAGAAATGATGAATTGTACATAATATGACCAAGCACATGAAGTAACAAGCCAAAAAAGGTCAATTTTAATTTCAGGTTTTACATGCTGAAAAGTACACTTTCGATTAAAGAGATCACTTTTTGCAATGCAGGAGTATAGAGTTTGATCAGCAGAGGGCACTGTTCTCACCTCTAGAGCACAATTCTGAAAAATGCTTGAGGTGCTGGCATGGTGAGACGAGCTCTGCTCAGACCTCTCAGAGTCTGCGCCTCTCATGGACCTGCCAGGAGTCACAGCTATAGAAAAAGAAGAGAGAAAAAAAAATGTGTTTAATGAGTACAATAGAAACACAAAATACAGTAGGTCAATGGCATGATTACATCTAGAAGCACAAGGTGACTCTTCTTATGTGCGACTCACGTGGCCCGTGCTGTCCCCGACCATTATCACTGCTGCCACTGCTGCCTAGGCTGGTGTTACTGTGAGTAAGGCCATTAGCCGTCAGACTGGACATCAAGCCTCTGGGTATGGTCCTATCCACTTCCTCACTACTGAGAAGCTGTTCCTCCAGGTGAGCTGGGAAGCTGTCCCTGGGCTGGCTTTGCTCCTCCTGTAAATCAGAAAAAAATGTTGGTTGAAGATGACTGTTGCATGGTGTGTTCAGGAAGAGTACTTTTGCTCCTCAATGAAAGGGAGTATGGGAGGGTAAAGCGCTAAACAAGAGAGAAGCATAATAGGCTAAGCAATGTTTTCTTCTGCATTACGTCTGTCCTTCAAAAAAAGACATAAAAAATATGAAAACCAAAGAGAAACACTTTCTGCAACTTAGTGTATAAACTGCTCTATAATTAAAGGCTCATTATCAACATTCATCAGAGAAAGCACCTTTCCAACAAAGGAACACAATGCAAGGTCTGATAGATCAGGGTTGGAATTCATTGATCGTATGGGTCCTTGAGTGTAATGATTTGTCTTCCATTTCCCGTTCCTTCTCCCTAGCCCTCCCTTAGTTCTCCACTGTTAAACCTGCTCACCTCATCATCTGAGTAATAGGCCGAGGCCACTGCTCCCCACACTTTGCTGGCCACATTAGCCGCCTGCTTCATGCCGTGCTTCAACATGTCCACTTTAGGCCCTGAAAGTAAGGCATCCATCTTGATGCCTGAGATGGAGTTGATAACAGACCCCAGCGATCCGCTCTGAGAAGACCTAACCAGTGCAGTCAATGAGGATGACCTTTGTCCTGTAGAACCAGGTGTCTTCGGGGACTTGATGGCGAAGGTCTTTGACCGTGTGACGGCAGGGCTGCGTTTGGGGGTTTCCAGTAAATCGGGGGTTTTTACAGGGCCTGCGGGAAGGCTAGACCTTCGCTCCAAAGACTGCTTGCTGGCAGGAGAGTCCACAAGGTCAGCTTTGCGCAGCTCCAAGTCACGCTGTGGCCCCTGGTGTAGCTCCATGCTTGATGCCTTGGCACCTAATGGACTCTGGAGGTTCATGTACATCTCTATCTCGTCAGCGAGGTTTCGTGAGACCACCGGCGGGACAAGACGTGCAGACTCTTGGCTCTGGATAGAGGCTGCCTCCTCACTTTCTGAGGCCAGCAACGAAAGAGGGTCTGCCCCAATTTCCACATCCTCTCTCTCTACCGCCTTAGAGGAGGAGATGTTTGCACTTTTCTCAGCTCCTTCGCTCTGAGGCGCCACCTCTGCTGGCTTCTTCCCTTTATCCTTACTTTCTTCCCTCAAATGAATTATTTTCATTTTCTCAACCCCTTCTTCATTATCTTCCTCCTTGAGGGCTGAGCTTGTATTAGGCCCAACATCCAGTTCTTTAAAGACTGAGCCCGAGGCTGTAGTGGGTGGTGGAGTTTTGGCTCCAGAAAAAGCAGCTGCTAGGATTTTAGCGTCAGCACCCATGTGATCCACACTCAGCTCCAGACTGTTCTTCTTCAGGAGCATCCCAGCTCGGCTCTCTGCGCTGAAGCTACAGCTGCGCTCAGCAAAGGCTTTGGCTCGCTGCTGCTGGCCAGTTTGGGCTGGGACTGGCTCTGGGTCTGCGGAGCTGTCGTTCTCAGGCAGGGCGATGTCTTCACTCTTACTGCGAGGGGTGAAGAGTTTACCACCACTTGCAGAACCACCACCTGCAAAAGTTACAAAAAGGCATGACAGTTATGGTTATTTGTCATACTATTTATTAATATATCATCAAAACTCTGCTAAGTCCATTGCAAATAAGGTAAAGATAGTGCATGTGAACTAAGGCTATGTTCATATTACAAGCTTTTGTTTAATTCCAATTTTTGTGCCTACCTGATGCATTTCTGCTTTGATGGTTCACATTTGTGTGTTTCTAAGCGATGTATCATTTGAGTGAACACCGATAATGCTATGAAAATTAATAATGCTGCTGATACCAGATAATGATAGCATGTGCAGTGAAGTGTGATGTAAATTGTGATGACATCTCTAATCTCATTGTGCACAATTACATATTGAATATGTCTATGTATGAAAGTGCCTTGAATCTGATTTGAACAGACTAGATTTTTGAGTTCACACAGCTCTGAAAAAATAAGATCTATGCCACTTTTAGGCAAAAGAATCAAATACCACCCTATAATGTGAACACAGCCTGATATGTAGGAGTGCATGATTGTAGTCTGCTATTTTTTGCTCAAAAACATTTGACTGGCAATTGGCCAACTTACATTTTTTATTTTGGCCCATCTATGTTGCAATTTTATGATGAGCCATGTGAGTGCACTCATGCTGCAATTGAATGCTGCTGCAAAAGATATACTGTGGCATATTATACAAATGTTGCAGCATAATTATGCATGAGTCATTGTGGAAAATAACCAGATGTCTCTTACTTTTGATGTAGCAATTTATTTGATCTCATGTTTTCAAAATGACAATCTGGGCCAGTTAAAGAGAAAATAATGTTATTTATGTTGCAACAGTGGAATTGTGTTGGGAGGTTTCCTGTCTTTATTTAGCCCACACAGTGTGGATGATAAAAATCAGTCCCATAAAAACATTAGCCATCGATTTTGTTGTAAAAAAAAAAAAAATTAGATAGACAGAAAGATAGACAGATGGAGTCTATATTGTGCACCTCTACTATTAACCACTATTGCATTGATAATCTGCAGTAAATCACCTGAGTCTCTTCTCCCTGTGGAGTTGTCAAAGCTCCCAGTGGACAGTCTGACTATGCTGGCTACAGGAGGGGTCGGCTCAGCAGGGCTGGGGGGCTCAGACACCGCCACTGCACTGTCAACAGAGCCAGCAATGTCCTTCCCTGGGAAAAAACAAAAAAACAAAACCAATCAACACAATCAAATTAGAACTGGACAAAAACAAACTTTCTTCCAAAACTAATATCACTCAACTGCTAAAATACTAATACTAATACTACACAGTGAATAGCAATTATCTCAAATAATTAATGTTAAAATACATATTCTTGATTTCAAAATTCCATTACATACATTCTATCAATCACCGTAAGTGTAATACCATTTTCTTGGCTCAAGACTGTTTTGCCCTTGCTGGCATGATCACCAGTGGAGAGAGGAAAGACTGTAGCTTTAGAAGCATCTACAGAGTCCTGATGTAGCTCATCCTTAGAGCCATAACCCTGGTCAGATTGGCCCCCTTTAAAACATAAATGAACAATAGTGAGCTCCAATGCAATATACGATAAGAACACCTTTATGTTTTAAATAAAAAAGATAAGCAGAAAAAAAAAACAAGCAAGGTCAAACACGAATGCACAACTTCATGTACTTTGTGGGAAGTCTTTGTGTAAATATGCATTTCTTGGGCAGTACCTGTGCTACAGTGACTCCCATTGGCGTCCTCAACAACAAGGCGGCGTGAGAAAAGCGTGTGTTCATCTCCGTTAGCTTCACTGGAGCTATCGGCACTACAGTGACTGAGTCTGTCTCCATCACCATCTGCTATCGCATCCAGGGACACTACTGCACAGGAATAAGCATCCTCAATACATAACACACAACAAGAACTTCAATGGAAAGTAATGTTTATGAGCATTACTATTTATTCATGACTTCAGACATGATCTGAATAAAAGAAACAATACCAGTGTTTCTGTAAAACCGCACAAATTCAAGTGCTTGTAGGGGTATTTTTAAAGAATTATGCATTATTCAGTCATTAAGATTTTCAAAGTCCTTCAGAATCGGTAACACCTCTACAAATATTTTGCAGAAAGCTATTTAAACATCACACAAATACAGAGGCTGTCTCGTTTTACCGGACATTTTGATAGTTAATAAACAGGCTATATTTGTATTGCCATCCCTGGTTCCTATCACCAACACTGTAAAGAAACTATAAAGTCAGTAGTTTCTCTACAATCAAGCATTTCGCATCAGTCCATTCAATCAATCCATTGTTTACATCTCACTGACTGAGTTATGCAGAAATGTTGTGGAATTCCCCTTTAACCCATGTTCCAATCATGTAACCCTGCACTGCAGTTTTGGAGCATCACAGCTCTGATTCTGCTGATTCTGATAATTAGATAATGACATGACTCAGGTCTGCTAGAGCAGGGAAAACAAAAATAGACATTAGACAGGGGCTTTTAATGGACAAAGAAATTCTGCATGTCATAAGTAAGACAGAAGGTTAAGCAGTACTGTAACTCTGTTGCTGAAAAAAAGTAACATCAACTCAGTGAACTTAAGCAGTCTTAGTGTACTGGGAGAACACCAACATGCACAGCGCTATCCTGGACTTGTGTGCCTCTCACCTGTGGTAATCGGAGGAGGTCTTTTAGATTGAGCTGAGCCTCTCAGAGCCTGCTTAAACTGAGCCACACCTCGTAGCACGTTCCGCACTTTGGTCCACATAAAGCGGCCACTGCGATTCCGGCTCGGCCAAGGGCTCTCCAGGACAGCCTAGAAACACACCCCAAAACACAAACCCACCCACACACACACACACACACACACACACACAGCCAATCAGACACAGAGGTCAGGGTAACCATAACAACCTGCCTTCTCCCATGGAAACACATCCAGGTTTTTAACATTTCTCTTTGGTAAAGCAGAAGCATCCAGACAATTTTACGCTCTGTGCAATTCGTACTGCAGGGAAATACTGATGTATTCATGAGGGGGCACTGAAATGAAGCTATTTGCCTGAGCGGCTTCAGGGGATTCTGAAAGTCAAAATCCTGTAGAAGCTTTGCATTGCTGAACACACAAATGCCATTCATACATGTCAAAATGTCTTTTACTGTGTTTTATTTTTAAATGTTTTAATTCAGCATTATTAAACTTTAACAAGATTAAGGTGGTTCCTCAGTCATTTAGTCATCTTCCCTCTCATGCTAGTTTATTTGTTTATTTGATTAATAGCAAGGTCACATACAGTACACACCTCTTGTAATCAGTGAGTAGAAGCAATTAATGCCAAAGTAATGAATTTAATGCACTACCTTGTTGTAGTATCCGTAAGTGATGGCATTGCCCTCAACTCCAGCCTTCTTCATTTCCATTAAAACTCGCACAGCCATGACTGGCATCCCCCACAGCCCACACAGCTGCATTACCACACGATAACACACCTGCCAGAGAAAAAAAAACATTCATTCATTTATTCACTCACTCTTGTTTAAAGTGAAAAAATACAGGTGAATAGAGCAATTTTTGTAAAATAACATATCACAATTATTCTTTGCCAGTAAAATACTGTTATCTTACACATATTTTGTAACATATGGGGTCTAGCACAAATTCCCAAATGAAACACGCCTGCTAAACCTGGCAAGGACTAAAGCCCTCCCACACTGCAGCTGGGCCCCACATACAAATGCGCAAAATCACACACACACACACACCTCATCAAGCACCTCCACCTCAGCATTCCTCATCTTCACTAGGACATTGAGGGCTTGCTGCATGGCGCGAGGTTTGGACTGGGCTAAACGCACGCCTGCAGGCAGACAAATGAACCACAGGCTGTAGCAGTGGCTAAACAGACACTTAGCCCACTGAGGAGGATTTGAGTAGCAGCGTTTTGCCATCTTGTAGGCCAGCTTGACTTCCTGTGGAGTGAAAGACAAACAGAGTCATTGTTAAATCAGGAGATGAAAATAGGCATGACATTGAAAGTGTGGTGAAATTAGATTTATTTAAATTTTGATTTAATTGAATTACAATCAAACTAGTTACTATAAATGATGACTATAAGCCAAGGGTGACATCTGCTTAAGAAAACTAAAATCCTGAGGCTATACATGAACCACTTGTGAAATGTGCTGAAGGGGAAGTGATTGAGTCCATTCATCAGTTCAGTCTGATTTAGAGAGAGACTCCAAGATCAACACCAAGACATGTCCAAAAGTGCGAATTAAGCTTTAGTATGTGTGCAAGTTCAGCATGTGAATGTGTTCAAACAATGCAAGAACTCAGCCCCTCTGTGAGCACGGTAACAATGGCCTAAAAATAATATTTGACTCAGTTCAGGAATCCTCTCCACGCTGGGACACTCGGTCCTGAAGTAGCTTCCGTGTCCTTCAGTGCACTAATATCCTGCCATTCCATTAAACTACGCCTGTGTCTCTGCATGTCAGTAAGGATCTTTAAATGCACTCTAATAATATCATCATTATCTGATTCGCAGATTGTTCAAGTGGTCATGTTAACAATATAGTACAACATCTTGTACAAGATTTCAAGAAATCCAGTAAATCACCTGGATTTTGTCCCAATCATGAGGTTATTTAGCACATGTACAATGCTAACCTCGTATCACAACAGCTCTAATTTAATACTACACTTGAACCAACATGTCCAAAAAAACAAAAAAAACAAAAAAAAAACCTGCACCAGAGACACTGGACTGCACTGACAGATGGTACACTGTCAGTTATACTATTTTTGGAGACCCAGAATTTTATTATGAGAGAAGTACACACAATTTACAAATTATTGACTAATTTTGCTGTTACTTCTGAGATTTTCTTAATAAATAAAGATTTTAAATATATGACATTATGACAAGTAAAATAAAGACCTTCAAGATTCTGCACTATTCCTTGGTCAATATTCAAATCTGAGCAAATGTCACACTGATCATGTTAAGGCCTTTGTACAAAATGTCTTACGGCCTTTTTATCCCTTCAATTGAAGCTTGTGTGCAGATGACTTTCAGGGGGATTTGATCTACTCATCAGTGGCTTTTACACAAACTTGTGGAGTCCATGCCATCTCCAATGCAAGTTCTCATTAAAGCAAAAAGGGGGACATACTAAATACTAAAATACTAACAAATTCTGAAATTCATGTAAAAATCTCAATGATTTTCAATAATATTATTAATTACAAAGACTTGTAATGAAAAACTTTGTATTGAATTAGTAGAGAATGCAAAACAGAAGCTCTTTTGCAGTGGTCTCAGACTTTTGGACCCCACTGTGCACACTGTTGTAAGTAAGACTATGGCAAAACCTAGAAAGTAAACAATATACGGGAATGGGAAAAGAGATGCATACAAACCAAACGCAGACACTACCCTGCTCCTATGTTTATGCACTCTTTGCCTGTAATAATCTACAAAGACTTAAGCTGTGGGCTTTCAACAGTGGGGAGGATCAAGAGAGTAGAGGAGAAGAAAAACAAACACCCTCACAGGCACAGTCGCCACCCAGACATGTTCGTCCCTCCCTCTTGTCCAGCTCAGCGTGTGTGTGACACGTGTGCATCCCCCTTGAGCCGTCGGCCAGTGTGGAGCGTTAAATGCATGGGTAACATTGGGGAATTCTCAAACAGAGCCAAACCACAAAGCTAAGGGAAGTGCAGCTCTGTTTTCTGTTTGTGTGGCATTTGTGGTCCACAGCCCAGCCCCCCAACCCCTTTTTAGTCATGGTCAGTTTCAAATGAAGCAGCTCTCTTTTCCTTACTGCACAAAAGCACGACCGTTCTGGGAGGGTGAAGGGCATTAGAAGTTGCGACAGGCATTACAAGTAATTTTGTGGCTGAATACTGCTGCGTACAGCAAACAGTTGATCTTTTTATCATGCTAAACGCTAGCTCTTCACTAGTAGCAAGCAGTTGCCTACTCCTCACTCCGTGACAACAATGAGCCTTTTGGAGCAAGATATAGTCACTGGATTAAAAAAACGTGTTTTTGTTTCAAGCAGTTAGCAAGCTCTAACTGGCAAACAAAATATCTTTGTGTGTTTGGTGATGGTCATAACACTGTGTGGGTCTGTTTTTGTTGTGTCACTGTTTTGACAATCATTTCCCCTACACAAACACTGGTTGTTTTGCATGTCCCCTTCCTGTCAAACCAGGCTGTTCTTGCCCACATTAAGTGACAAAACCTACCCAATAGAAAGGAAAGGTTGGATTTTCAAAAAGGTGTCTTTCATGTACAGAGAAGATCCACTGCGGTAGTCAGACCAGCGCCTGACTACAAGGTAAACGGTCACTTGAAGAGTTAAAGGATAACGATTGTTAATTTCTACCCACAGAGTCACAGATTCTATTACTATGTCCAAAATGAACAAAAGAATGACTTTGCATTTTGCTAATACATTAGGTAACTAACCTACTGCACAGGCAAAAATAGAACTGTTTGCAACTGGAAAAAAAATAAATATATAAATACAATGAAAGATAAATAAATCAAAAAACATTGGTTCCACTATTTCCAGTGGTGAAATTCAACAGAACACAATCTGAGTGCATACACTGAAGTTATAGTGAATATATCACAATCACACCTGCTTAGTTCTTTTTGCCAGGAGTGCGGGGCTGCTGGACAGACTGGCACCTGCTGCTCTGGTGCTGAGCGCTGGCTTCAGCTCCCGTGGCCGATCAAACAACTCCAGCCGCAAGCGAGGGAAGCTCTTATAGCTAAAGAACAGAGAGGAGCAGGATGAAGTGCAATTTAATGCAGAAAACAACACTGGAGGGCTAATACTAAAAAAAAGCAGAAAAACAGAAAAACGTTTTAAAAAGCTCTAAAGTACTCAAAAAGGGCAAAACAATAAAAAGATTTTTCCATAAGAGAATACAATGACAGGCTCAACTGCCAATGGACAGAATGGAGATGAACAGAAAAAGGAGAGAGTGAGCGAGCAAGTAAGAGAGACAGAGAGAAACAAAGAGAAAGAATATATAAGTTGGAATATGACCGACTGTGCCAGCAGACAGCAGAGAGCCTGGCACCAGTACCTGCAGCCTTGGCCACTGGGCACAAACTCAAGGCTGGCATGGGAGTAAGTGTCGGGACCTGAATACCAACCGAAGCAAGGGAATAGATGCCACTGGCCTTGTACTCATGGATAAAACCTTCTAGACACTAAATAGCTACTGTAATGTGAGAGGTGTAGGAAGATCAATAGCTAAATAACGGAGTGCTACTACAACAAGACAGGAACAATAAAAAAAACATACTTGAAATCCATTGTGAGCTAATAAGAAACTTAAACTGAAGCTTTTGGAATGGCTCCCTCAGGCCCCAGACTGCAACATAATTACAACAGAACCACCCCCTGTGCTTTACAGCTGAAAAGTTGTTCTTTTCACCAAATGCTGTTTTTTTTTATTATTATTTTAACAAGAAAGTTGTGTTTACTTCCTTTCACTTAAAAAATATACATGTGTAACTTTTAAGAGGTACCCAAACTTTCGCATAAAAGCATATGGATACTAGACACTCACCTGTATTTTGGAGGAGGTTCTGAGCCATCGTCAGGAGGGGGTTCCGGGGGCATGATAAAAACAGTATGCTCACTCTTCTGAGACTCATCCAGCTCCAGCAGCTTTGCATCCTCTGACCACTCACCTTCAACCTGCACAGTCAACATAAATACTATCAATCCTGTTTGTCTACAGACAGCTGTCCATGACTACAGTTTTTGGAACCTGCTTTAAATGTAACGTGTGTCAAAACAAGATTTTCTAACCTAATACCTGACTACATTCATTCATGTCACTGCCTTCATGCATAATGTCCTATTTTAAAAGGATTAGAAAAGGTACTCATGCTTTTAAAAAAGTTGAAAAAGCCTAGCTAAAGCCAAATGTACAGTTTCATTTTCATAATAATGACTTACACGCTGGCTTATAAAATCACTGGTCATAACATTCCCCTTATTTCCAAAAACTTACAGGGACTTTCCACTTCTGTTATGGCTCAACGTGTTTAGATTAACAATGTGTCAATGTACCCAACAGCAGATGGCAGAGTTAATTATTTACTCCATTAAACCGATGGCACTGCATATGAACAGCAACAGCCATCTGTGCTTTATTTTCCTGAATGGCTGATCTAGAGCCTGCTACATTTGTGAGAATCATAAACCTAGACTTTACAGGCCCAGTAAAACTGCTCTCAGTTCAGCTCTGAGGGCATTTTCTATTCTCATCTCCATCTGCGCTCATCAAGGTTTATGCCCCTAGTTTCACCCTAACACTTTTTCCACTGCTGAAATTTAGCATGATCATAATGACAGAGCCGTGCTATGCTGAAAAGGTTCCAGGGAAAATAAGGCTCACCTTTGTGCCCTTGTCTGTTCCTTTATCAGACGGGAAGAGCTGTGAAAGAGGCGAGAAAGGAACAAACTCAATCATAGGAAACTCTGTTTCCTCTGTTCCTCCCAGTGGGAATGAAGTTATGTATTATGGCTCAGGAAAAAAAAACAAGATTATTTTACTACAACCATAAAAGTATCTCAAAACAGTTCAGAGTGGGGAGATGTGTAGATTCATTTTCAAGGTGAAAGTTTCTGGTTTCCTGCCAGAGGCAACAACAGAACTGTTCGTAGCGCTTTATTAGAGAAGTATGTGCGTGTACCTTTTCAATGCAGTAGTCAAAAAAGGCCAGGCCTGTGTCTTTGTCACTGACAAAAGTGCATTCCTCGATGAAGCGAATAAATATCTGGGTTTTGGTGAGCTGGGAGTAGAATTTCTGGTGAGCGCGGTCTCTACTCTTCAAGAAGCCTGCAGGGCACAAAAAGCCACAACACATTTTTCCATTGAGCTCATTTCTTTTTACAAACACTGGTGGGCGAGAGGTAGTATTGTATAACTACTACTACAAGTAAATATTATTTACCTTAATTGGTCACCTTCTAAATACACTGAATTGCCAGTGTTTATTAGATACATTGTACCCTTGAACACACAATGGTTAGTGGTGGTCTGGTGGTCCCTTTACACTAATAGATGGGGCACAGGCTGATCAATTGTGAAGCAACAGATGGGCTACAGTCAGTAACTGTAAAAGTGCCCCTGCAAAGTGTCTCTATATGCTGGGCGTATCTGATAAAATGGCAATTGTGGGTAAATTCAAGGTTCAGTACTATTCACTTCAGCCACCTTACAAACTTTTTTCTAATTTGCATCTGAAACGGCTAAAGGAGATAGTTCCAAGAAGATTAGATATAAGATAATCCATTTGAATAAAGAAGGGGAAAGTAAGTGAACAAACAGACATTTCCAAAGATGCAGGTCAAAAATGAAGATATAGAGAAAATGGGGCTCCTAACAAACATGCAAGACGTTGTAGACCACCAAATCTCATCACCCTCACATAAACAGGACTTAAAGCTTTTATCTTTGCAAGATAGGACAAAATCAAGCTCCACTCTTGCTTCAGATCCTTCTGCTGTGAAAAGACAACTCTGAGTCTGAAAGAATAGAATTTGCACTAGCACACCAAAACTAGGCATTTTAGATGCCAAGTAAGGTTTATGGACTGATGAGTTCAAATTTGTAAATGTGATTACTTGGATCATAGGGAGCAATAAATCCAACCCACTTCTAAAACTAAACTTTGAAGATGTGAAAAAATATCCCTGTATAATTCTTTGAAAAACTGAAAGCAGGTCTCCTAAAAAGAATGGAAGCTGTAATAAAGACAACGTGGGGACACACTAAATACTGACAAATGTAATGTTTAGTGGTTAATGTTTCTATGCACTTCTCTGCTTTGAACAGTAATGTAGGTGTACCTAATAAACTAGCAACCCCATGTTTATGTATGCACTTCTATAAAACAGAGGCATTAACTGTAATAACTACTAAGTTCCGACCGATAAACTAATCACTGATTAACCAAATACCCTCTTGTCTTTTAGGCCAGAGAGGCAGGCCATATGCAAACAGTCAGGCAGATATGGTGTGTTATGGTAGAATTACCCTGCAGGTCATAGAGGGAGTCAGCAGCTGTGGCCTTCTCTGAGGGCGCCTGGGTGATGGGTTTGAGGTAGCTGCGGTAGCCCTTAAGTATTGAGGCCATGAAGCGCAGGAAAGCCTCCTGGACTTCCATCTCCAGCCCAGCCATCTTATTTACCCATGAGAAGTCAGCCTCAATGGGGGTCATCTCTACTGCTCCGGAGTTTTCTGGAGCATTCTGCCGCACTGGGGTCAAGAATGGGCACACACAAGGAGTAATATAAGTCAGTATCAATTGTGCCAATCTGATTAAACAGCTTTGCAGGCTAAAATTTGGAAGTAACACCACAGGCTAAAGCTTGGAAGCGACATTAACTTGACCGGAAAAGTTTCCACACTTTTGGGTCTGTGGGGCAATTGTGACATAAGCGGTATAAACTCAGATAACCACATAAACTAGTTCTTATTCAGTGATATAAATATGTTCAAAGTCCTTCTGGTTGTATTAAGAATACGTTCGTACCAATGGTGAGCTGGTGGTGAAGGTTGACCAGAGCGTTAGTGAGGCTTTTGCAGGGCTTCTTCGGGAGATTCTTCCAGCTACAGTGCCTCTTCTCATCAGACCTACCAGAAGATTAAAGCAACCCAAAATGGTACAGCTCAGGAATAACAGATGCTTTTGGTCATTACAGTAGATTTAAAAAGTATGGCATATATATGAATAAAATGTTTTATGAGGTTTTGTAAGAGCTCACAGGTAGATAGTGTTGGTGTCCAGGTCCACACAAACCACATCTGGTGGGGGGTCATAGAGGTCAAAGTATCTGGAGTCCACGCCCACAATGAAAGGACAGGGGGCATTCAGAACCCCAGCCAGGGACAGAGGACATAGAGGGATATAGGGACACTGCCACTGGAAAGGAAAGATCATCTGAAGGGAGAGAGGCATGAAAGAACATGACTTTCCTCAGTAGACAGTATGGAAAGTTTTATTGCACTATAGTATGGTGATTATCTAAAGATAAATATTGTGATTGCAATATGCCTTGCAATTTATTAAAAACACAGATGTTAATGAAAACTGTGACATAGTTGGATCAGCCTGCATTATTTTGATGAAAATAATTTATTTGATTCATTAAAAACAAACCATAGAAACACTGATCAGTAATCGTAATTGATTGCAAAATTCTGACCTGTCCCACCTCATTTAGTCATTGTTGCTATATTCATTTAAATTTTAGCTGGTAGCACCTGTAGCACTTGAGCTGACAGACTAATACGTTCAGTAGCACACAAAGATAAACAAACACTCAGAGGAGTACATCTGAAATCACTTCATTATGTAGAAATAAACCGGCCTTACAGGATGTTCAAAGCAAAACATAAATGCAGCCCGATTTAAAGCAACAAACAATACATGTAACCATGTTTTCAGTGTAAAGATTTTTGTTACCGTGAGTAGCTACTGGAGTAAAAAATGACTTGACTTCCAAAAGGCATAAATTTAAAGATGACACTGTCCTTCTTAATATTTTAAGCCGAAGAACTTATTTACTTCAATCTATGACAGTTTCAACAAAACAAAAGAGGAAAAGGGCCTAAAGCAAAAGTTTGGGCATCCTGCATGGTCAGTACTTAGTACTCCTTTGGCAAGTATCACAGCTGTAAACACTTTTTGCATCTTTTTGAGTCTGTCAGTTCTTGTTTGAGCAATTTTCACCCATTCTTCCTTGCAAGACTTTTAATTCTGTTAGATTTTTGGACCATCTTGAATGCACTGCTCTTCTGAGGTCTATCCACAGACTTTCGGTGATGTCCAGGTCAGGGGACTGTGCCTCTTGAGGTAGTCAATTGTGGATTTTGAGGTATGTTTAGGATCATCATTCTGTTGTAGAAGCCATCCTGTTTTACTTTTAAGCTTTCTTACATATGGTGTGAAGTTTGTTTCCAGAATTTTTGTGTCACTGACTGCAACACAAGCCCAAAGCATGATCGATCCACCCCATTTTTACATTACTTTACATGTTTAAAATTAACGTTAGACATGTTTTCCCCTGCACTTGGAGCAGAGAACTAGAAATCCACCTGGACAGGTAAATCTGCCTGCATCTAAGTGACACCCCCACTAAGCGGCTGACAGTTAGCAAGGTAAGCATTTCATGTTCACTGCAATGTAAATGCAGTGTGACAGTTTTAATACTAGACATATCAGTGTGCTCTTCCACACAGTTTAATCCAAAACTTTTCCAGCTTCACAAATAAAAAAAACTGCACCACACTCCAGATGATCAAGCCAGGGTGCGTGTGAATTAAATGCTCCCCAGAAATACTTTATCATCTTACAGTAGGTTTGTTCTCAGGAGTTTTTTCTGAATTTTTTCCTTCACTTGAATGAGGTAGGTAGCACTTAAAGATAGCTTTGATTGGCTGAGAGGTATGCTAATTGTTACCTAATGGTCAGTCGGATAAGACACTCACAGCATACCCCATTAAAAACTAGTTAAAGAGCTCACATACGCATATTACAAACCCTCTACAATATTAGTACTGCAATTTCCCAATTGGAATACAGATTAACAAGCAAATAACCCTCACAAAAAATACAAAAAGAAACCTCACCGCCACCACAGCCTCAGCTATCCCAGTCAGTACGTCTGGTCTGAGGGAGTGAAGAAGGATCTTGCTCTCCAGCAGGACAAAGTGCAGCAGCGTGGCGCAGTTTTCTGGGCCCAAGTTCTTCAGCAGAGTGCTATAGTCTGCCCCACTGTGTTGGACAGGAGTGAGAAGAATTGAGATGAAGGCAGAGAGAGGGGTAGTCTGGGAGATTTTAAGCTGCCAAGAAGAAACTACTTTACATGAGGTTAAGAAAACACTTGATATCTTGGGCAATCACCTCTTTCAAGTTATCTAAGACAGACCACAGTATCAAACAATGCTGACAGCACTAAACTAACATCGCCACATATACAAACAGCTGGGAAGTGGATATTTTGTCCCTTGTGTTTCATTATTTAGACACACTGAACAAATTTCTAGAAGAAAAAAATGTGCAGAAACCCCACATCAGCAGTTGCACCCAGCAGAGACCTGGAGCCATCAAAACCCTTCTCTAATCTCTGGCTCTCTCCACCAGGACCACAAAAAAGAAAACATCCAAAATGCTGTACTGTAAACTGATGTTTTTTCACTTCCAATGTTAGATTGACCAGTGTCTGACATGTTATTCATTTCCAGGCACTGATAATTTAAAAAAAAAAAAAAGAAATTTCCAGAGTGGGAGCCGCCGAGCTCATAAAAATGCTCTTAGGCTGACAGATGATTTGATGTGTTTTGCATTAAGCTAGGCCGAAAAAATGGAAAAATTTGGACTTTGGAGTGGGCAGGGGAAATCCAAAGATGTTCACATTTAGACATGCAAGCATTTCCTTTGGAAAAAAGAGACATCCTTATTTTCTATAAAGGAATGTTTGTAGGGTGAACATTTGTATTTCATTTGAAACAGATTTAGAGAAAAGCATCAATAACACCACTGCAAGCTTACCTTAGTGGTAAAGGTGTAGAGACGGGTTGGGACAACATTATGCTTTCATGTGCCGAAGTCTGAGATATGGGGGGAAAAAATAGGCACATTTGAAACATGTTTTCAAAACATAAAACTGACAAATTCTAACTCTATGACATCATTTCCCCACTCTGCATCTACCATCTCAATGAATGGCAAAAAGGCTCAAATCAGTTAATATAAACCCCATGTGGTGTCCACAGTAAGAGGCCTTTAACCTTGAAGTGGAGTAAGACATACACACAACAAGAAATCCATACTGTCAACTATTAGGAATAAAGCGATATTAGTATCCATACCTGGACCATTATTCTGGGCCTCTGTGGTGAAGGGAAGGGCACATTATGCATGAAGTGGGAAATGTGCCTGAAACCGAGGAAAAGGAAAAAAACAAAAACAAAAAACATATAAAGCCTGAATAAGAAGAGGCACAGAAATATTCTCAACTGAAACATGTACCGCAATCAGAATGGCAGTAATTTCACTTGCTGCACAACCTGTTTAACCCAGTTATAAACCCCATACTAAATCAAATCCTAAATCCTGTACACTGCTGTGCTCTCTTACTTCTCAATGGGGAGGGGATTGACACTGTTGGCTGAAAGCCTGTAGAGGAACATGAGAAAATCTTTGAAGGCCTTGAAGAAGGGCCATCGCGACAGCAGACAGATGCATTTGTTGGTGTTGACTGTGCGGTCGAGAATAGGCTTCTTGTCCACGGCAGTGAGGAGTCCAAGCTGGATCTTCTGCTTCTCACTCAGGTTCTCTGTTGGGTAGAGCTCATAGAACTGGACGGCTGCACCATAGACCTAAAGTAGAGGAGAGTAAGTGCACAGTTCAGTGTTCTGAAAGGTTTAAGGAGGTCCTGGTTGAGGCCTCAAATGGTCTTAGAAGTCTTGGTAGAAATTTGGAAAGCTTTGGTTTTGATAGAGATGTAAACTTAAGAACGCAGCTAATACATTTTCCAACATGGATTTTAGCTTCTTGGCTGATAAAAATGCTTCAAGGGAATTTAATTTCCTAGTACAACAATGACTTGACTCAGAAAAATTAAATGCAAATTGCCCAATAAAGCACAGAAAAGAGTTCAAAAAAAGTATGATTGTTCTAGAAGGTGACTGAATGCTAATGAGAAACCTTTTAAACCTTGTTTTATGAGATGGTTTCTTGGGGAGAGACTTTTATTTTACCTTTTCCCCTGAGGAGTTGGTCAGGACAAAAGTAGAGAAGACTGGTAAGGGGTAGCGTGTATTGGGTGCCCAGGACTCGATCTTGGCCCCCATAGGAAGGCAGAATAGAGGCACTGACTCTGAGAGGGGAAAGGACTCATAATCTTCCTCTGGGTAGCGGAAGATTAAACCTGGAGTGGGGAGAAGGGAAAACGGCCTGTCAGAACTGTTTGTATTTTGAATTTGACAGCTATCCTGGCACAGGAACATGTAAACAGTATCACATTCCTCTGAACATATCAATCTTCAAGTGCAGATGATACGTATTTGAGCTTATCATGGGGCAATGGCAGAAACAAGGAGGATACTGAAGATTACTGATGTATGTTTAATGTTAATGTCAGCATCCTGCATATTTCACCTCCTTTTCATGTGGTTAGAACAACACAGTTTTACAGTTCCTATGAACGGGATGGCGTACACACATACACACACACAAATAATGTTGCATTGCTATTGTAGCACTTATTTGATATGTAAATGTGATCCAACTAAGCAATGAACACACGAAGAAGAATATGTCACACTTCAGTCATGTCTTTTCATTATTCTGACAAACCCAGTCGATAATAAGTGCTTACCGATTTGAACTGCGCTCTGAATAAAAAAAACAAAAAAAAAAAAAAAAAAATTATATATATATATATATATATATATATATATATACACACACACACACACATACATACATACACACATATATATACATATATATATATATATATATATATATATATAATTATTCTCCAATAATAGAGAAGACTAGGTTCACTAGTTTCAATATTTCACAAAGTGGACATGCATGCACTGCCGTAACTCTTCTGCTGGCAGATTTGTATTTAAGTTAAAGGGGCTATCATCAAATTCTTAGAATGGATCACTGGCACTTGGCTCGGTTAAAGAAGGAACAGAAGAAAAGAGGGGGGGGAAAAAACAAAAACAAACAAAAACAATCAAACCACTGGTAAAAATACACCGATAAAATGTCATAATGGACTGACATCTATTTAGCTACTTTTTACTATGAAGCGTATGCAGTTATTATAGACTGTTCTCTACAAATGGTCTAAATCTATTTTGTATGATACATGCAGTTGTTCAGTGTTCTAGATCTACTCACAATGCCTACAATACACTCATAAAAGTGTACTGTGATTTTGTTTGACAATGATAACATATCGTCACACTGCCCACTGGACAATATGACGAAAACTCTGAAACAGACTGAATCTGTGTGTGTTTTACATATAGTTTCACTCCCAACAGGCTACAGTCAACTGGTCCAGAAAAAATGCAAGCATTATAAAGAAATAAAATCGTAACACTAGAGTTAGTAACCTTTCTGTATTTCAGTCAAGTAGAACTTGAAGTCTAAGTTTAGGTATCTGACACAGTGTAAGACAAGTGCAAGAGGCAAAGTAAGGCGAGTCAGGAAGTCCTGCCCTTTGACTATTAACAAGTCCAATCACTTGACAGGAAGTGAGGCAGTATGAAGATAAAAGGCCTTAGCTGACTGCTCTAAGAATATTAACCATGTTAAGTTATTGTGAAAGGGCATGACCGTTACACCAGGTCATGTACGCAGAGTCATGTACAGTTGGATAATCAAATGTTTTTTTAAAGCAAAATATCAAATGAGTGGCACTGACTGGGCTACCAGGATAAAGGGCAAGTATAAACATTGATAGCTTTTACACTTTCCGGACTCCATCAGTTGCATGTTACCCTGTAAAGGCATTTTATGAGAGGGATGGAGGTCAACACAAGGTATTCTTTATTGTGTTGAGTTTCAAAATGATGAATGCAGTTCACTGAAGCATTGTGCAAGTCAAGAACACAGCACCTTCAAAAACGTAACCTACACATAAGCCTTAAGGTTCATGTGCTGTACAGACTGCCCACAGCCTTTCTTGCTCTTTACAATATTAAGGTCAGATGTTCCTTTTGGCTAGTGTCTCACAAGGCCAAGCAAAAGCTCAGGGACGCCTGTCCTCACATACTTCTTCAAGAGCGTGTAAAATCTTCCTTTATTTCATCAGTGCGATCCTGCGACTGCCAATTTGCTTTAATAAACAGAAATTCTGCACTGATTCACTATCAGAAAATGAAAGCTTTGCCTTTATGCTAGAGCTTGATTCTCCCTCCTGTCATCCCTAGGCTTAATGAATTTCATCTCTGTCTCTGATCAGCACCTTGATCTTAATTTTCTATGAAGGAGGGGCTGACAGGGTGTCACTTACTGTGCAAACTCATGATAACACAGTTGACATTTAGAGTTCTGTCTTATCTGTCAAGACAGGCTGGGTTATGAGAGTTCAGTGTTGATCACTGGGGATCAGAACAACGAATAGAAAAATAAACGTGTCAATGGGGGAAAAGAGGGAAAGGCGGATTGTATTAGTGAAAGAGAGAGAGAGAGAGAGAGAAAGAGAGAGAGAGAGAGAGAGAGAGAGAGAGAGAGAAAGAGAGAGAGAGAGAGAGAGAGAGAGAGAGAGAGAGAGACTCACCTGCTTTATAGGCAATAGAGTTGGAGGCAGACACTGACTTCTTATAACACAGGAACACACTGGACCCCCACTGTAAATGAACAGAGATACTGAGATGTCACATACTCTGGTAGTCAAAACATGCTATTACATCATTTTCAAACTGATTGTATTTAAAGGTCATATACAGTACTGTGCAAAAGTCAAGAGAGGATTCTTAATTTTTTCATTTCCAGTCAACTCGTCTTAGAATATTTCTGAGGAGATCAGATATAAGATAATCCACTCGCATAAGGAAGAGCAAAGTCAAAGGAAAATAAGCAGCAAAAATAGGAGTTTTCAAATCTGCTGTTCAAAAATTATTTAAAGACATCGAGATGAGAATGAGACTCCTAAGAACTGTAAAAGACATGGTGGACATGGTCTGAAAGGATGTGCAGCTGTCAAGAATCTGTTACTGAAAAAAGGAAACAGAAAAAAAAGAAAATTTGCAGATCAAATAAAGAAGCAACATCACTGAATGCATTTGGGATCGCTTTGTGAGAAGTAGAAAACTTTGGAGGTGTGGAAAAATATCAACACAGATTTCTCTGAAAAACATCAAGTCTCCTGAAGAGACTGGAAGCTGTAATAAAGGCAAAGGGTGGACACAGTATACACTTAAAAAGACTTTGGTGTTATTTTTTTGTTAAAAATGTTTTCTGCTATTTTTTCCTGATGCTGCAAAATGAATATTTTGTGCTTAATGGCTATTTTGACTAGAAATTAAACAAATGAAATGTAGTCTCTGACTTTTGCACAGTACTTTGGACTCACCATGCCACAGTTGAGGTTCTTGTCCACCTTGAGGAAGGTGTGTGGAGGAGTCTCTCCTTTGCTTGTGACTATCACACATATATCTGTGACTGCCAAAGAGTTCTGTGGCTGGACGGGTGGCGAACGGCGGAAGGTGATGAAGATGCGCTGAGACGTGGCTGAACTGTTGTTAACATTAGCGCAGCGGCCATACGGTGTGGCCTGGATAACTTCACAGCCCTGGATCAGCCGGTCCTTCCCCTCATACAGCACTCTGAGAGACAAAGACACAGTGAATATGACACCAGCGGTATTTCATCTTGAAGCAGGTCACTGTTAATGACAAGTTTGGTACACTTATTAAGCTATGACGAAGTCTTAGCATGTTTGCTGCACTTAATTAGTTAGATTGCCACCCGGATCAGTCCCATGATTTAGCTGGCTAATTTAACATAATTTTGTTCTTTAACCAAACAAACAGTATTCTAAACTCTATCTCAGAGGATAAATATGTAACCTATTCCTCTGTGCTGAAGGCTCCTCAAAATCAATATTTATTAGTTTTTGTTTTAGTATGGGCCACTAGTTTCATGGTTATTTTGGAATCAAAACTTAACAGGAATGGTCAGGAGTGGTCCAATCTGCAAATTTTATGATACTTAATCCTAGATTTCATACAAATGCAGACCTCATTACATTTTAGCACCACTAACAGGCCACTGTTTAGTACCACTAAAAATTATCATAGACCAACAGGGGTGTAACAATGCATCATGGTATTGAAACACAAAACTGTCACAATGTGAATCGTAGAGATGTGATGGTATTACACTCCAATAAAGTCTCTCCTACATTATTAATTGCATTAATAATTGTTGCTATAACTGTCAAACTTGTCAATCTGTCAATCAGTAAACGCTAGCTGGTAGCATCCGTAACACCAGTAGACTAAAGTGTTCAGTAAAGGAAAATAGAAGCACACAGAGAAGCACATTGGAAACATTCTTCATTCAAAAATAAACTGGGCCTACAAGACGAAGACTATTACAGTTTTACAGTTTGAGCATTAAATGTTTGCCAACTTTAAAGCGAACAAAAAACTGATTCCGAAAACTATGTTTACATTAATCACATCAGTGAAATCTCAGTGGCTTGACATTTAAGAGGCAGGTTTTCGTGTCTAATGAGGAGGTTTTAGCTAAGGAAGCGGACCCTTCAGATGAGCTAATGCTAAAGCAATCACAAATGTGAGCGTTGTATAGTCCTTTTTAACCTGACTATCAAGCTGTCAACAGCTATGTTAAGCAACTAGTGAGCTAACTGATAACATTTTTTCTGTGAAGTTATTTATAATCAGACATAATATCAAAATTATTTTTAGCAAGTAGAGTAACCCAGATAAATTTGGCTTATCTAAGAGTAAGCATAATACTGTCTGCTTTGACACTGAACTAGTTAGGGCTTCCACATACTTTAATCCAAAACTTTTTCAGCTTCAGGAATGAAATAAAAACAGCCGCATCCTCCAGATGATCATGACAGTGTGTCACACATTATATCAGGCATGTTTATAAAAGCCTTGCTAGCTGAATCAGGCATGCTTAATGAGGCAGCGTGCTGAAGTCTGCAGTGTTTTGGCCTGCAAGGACTGGAGCGTGGCACATGTGACACATGATTTTCTTCAGTAACACTTTTCCACCATTTCTTAGCCTAATAATTCTGGCCAAATTACTGCCAGCCCCATTTTCACAGGTTTGCTTTTAAGAGGTCTTTCAAAGTTTTTTCGAGATGAAGCTTTGAAGTCATTATTTTTCTTTATTCAAGTTTTTTAAAAATAACTTGAGAATATCAAATAATGAACCTAGTACTGTGAATCAAACTGAATTTTGGGTGCATCAATACATCCCTACAGGCAAAGATATTAACCTAATAATTTCTTGAACTATCTTACTGCCATTACTGCCGCAACAGCATGTTTTGATTTGGACATTGATGATCTCGCAGCAATTCTCCTAATGACCGTTTGAAAACAAATGCATAACATTCGTGTGTTTCAATACAGAAGAAGGGAAAGCATGCATGTGCTTGTGCAAAAGGGAAACGGCTAAGGGTGTTGATTAAACAAAGACTTTTCTGAGCCATTCACTCTCTGCCCTTTTACCTGGATTAGGAAAGTTAAAGGAGTAAAAGTCAAAGCTAATTCAGCAAGACGCCTTATAATACAATAAGATAATAGTCCCCATAAAGGTGCTGGCAGGCCGTGACTCATTTTACCCAGGCCACATTACATTACTTCCACATTTTCCTCTCAGTCTGCACAGTACTATGACATTACTGCTAAAGCCTTTCAGCTATTTCAGACGGCAGACTTATTGCCTTGCTTTTTATTACAAGGCATGTCTTCAATTCATATTTTCTGTGGTACAGAATGCTTTCAGTAATCCCATTTTTAGACTATATCAAAGACATATGCACACAATATGATCAAGCTATTTTTCTCAATGCTGAACAATCTTATGTGTTCTCTCAGAGTTGTTTTTAAGTTTATAGAGTCTGGCAACTGCTATTAAAAATTTTATTGTCAACCAAGTAACAGAACTATATTTGTTTAAAAAGGCAGCACACAACAATGGCAAAATCATTAGGTGTCCTTAGAACAAACTTGAGTCAATATTGCCCAGTTACGAAGGCTGTTCAGCATTTTATTCTTGAGGATATCTGAACTGAGGATCAAGGGGTGAGTCAGACAGACCCAACAATTATGTGAAAGCCACAAGAAAAAAAAAACAACTTTTCCAGCTGGAAGCACATTTCTGAAGCCTTAGTCAAACTGCTGGCACTAAGGAAGCTAGAGGAAATTGTCTTATCTTAGCTAAACGGATAAATAACGTTTGGTTACTAAATTCACTTTCATGGAGAACTTGGAAACTGCAGTCCGAGGCAATAAGACACAGAACCAAGTTTTTAATTTCAGCAGGTTCTAATTTTTTAATTTAAATATACTAGTGAAGGCTACATATCTGTGCAGAAATAACTTATTCAGGGACAGAGTCCCTTCATTTTATCAGCACACTCAGATCTTTCAGGTCGTTTCTTACATCACAATGATTTGTTTTAGGACAGTTAGGACAAGTCCTTAGTCAGCTTAGTAAGGTTTGAGAACAGGAAGCATTCAGAATCTTTGAGAACAGAAAGATCAGAATTGCACCCAACATGTGATTGACAAAAACCAAAATACTTCCATATTGGCCAATTTGCATTAAGATTTTATGCCGTAAATAACATAAGTCAGCCAAGTACATGCATGCCCATGCATGAATTAGACTGACACAAGCTACCAGCCTATTTGCTTTATGTCAACGTATTCCTTAATCCCACAAAGTGTAAACCTCAGCTAAAAAGGAAATTTAAAATGCTATTAGCTTTGTAAACATTTATGATCAATGCACCCTTTTTCATTCAACAACTTTAGTATCCTTGCCTCACATGTCCCCAGCAGGTCAGTTCAGGGAAACAATAAATTCTGCCAATGCCAGGCCAAGCCTAATATAAATCTTGGTAGAGGTCATAGGAGCAGACGCCAATCGACTCAAGTAGACACTCAGAGCTCAGCCTAGCCTTTGTATCAGGATCCTTCCTTCATCCCCCGCATTACAAAGAAGTGAAAAAGAACACTGACCAAACAAGCAGCTCAAACCGGCCCTGACTGAAACCCAAAAATAAGCACTAATGAGAAACCAGTCATAAAAGCATGAGGCCCGAATGAGGAAACAGCCTAGTTTTGCCCACTGACACAGACAGTGGAGCGATGAATAATTAACAGACCGTGTTCTTTTAAGTGCCGACTCATAAAGCCACGTTTGATCTGACACGAAGCAGTTGTCAAAATAGATGAGCTCAGAACAGACAAAAAACCTAAATTAATTTGGATTCAAGTATTACATAACAGAGCAATTTACATTCAGAGTTAACCTCTGTCATAAAATAAAATAACTAGGTGACACCATTAACTATTCCCATGAGACTAATTTGAATCTGATTTGTCTATGTTTAAATGAATCAGGACCAACAGCTTCTGCTAATATTTATAGGCCTATGCGATTTCAGTTTACACAAAAGAGATAACCACAGCATTTTTTAACAAGCAATTTTGGATCAGGAAATCTGATGTAAAACTTTGTCCAGACCACTCCATGCATGCTGTTTAACAACTACACTCCATGAACTGCGTTGTGATTACCTCATTCTGTTTTCAGGCTTTAGTAACGGCTCAACAAAGCATTAGTGCAACATAAAACCCACTATCAGTGCAAACAAATCCACAAACCAGCTAAATGCAGGTTCCCACGGGACAGGGTTAATATGTAAAAAGCCTTCTCTGCCAATAATTGTACACAGAAAACATTGGACGTTTCTTTAAAATAAATAAATAAATAAATAAAATAACACACACTATTCCTTGGAAGTCTGTTTTGTTATCCACAAAGTCAATCTCCTGCAGTACCTAGATAACAAAAAAACCTTCTGCCTATATAATGCAGCACAGAGAGCCCTAAAGAAATCTACTGTGTGCTCCTTGCACACACACACACACACACACACACACACACACACACACACACACACACACAGGTTCTGTTAATTTTCTAAGCGAAAATAAGTTAACACATCCACTCAAGAAACAAACAATTTGCACAAAAAAATAAAACATTAAATATAAATTGTGCCATGTTTTAGTTTTTCCCCCAATATGTTAAATTCATTTAAACAGTGACTGTGCATTAAAATGTACTGAAATGTGTTCTCTGTAGATGATATGTTCAGATATTTTCCAAAATCAACAAAACACTTTATTTGTCCTCGGTGTGTAAACATTTTCATATAATTGAATGGAAATAGCTATGGCTAGCTAATCTCTTCAGTCTGACTTTAAGCTCATGTATATCCCATGTCATACCCCTCTTTACTATGGCAGTACACAATCCAACTTCCACTGTAACAGTACTTTGATTAGATTGTGTTCCATTTTTAAACAGATAAAAACAACACGATACTGAATATGCTAATCATCAGAGGTTGACGATCTGACACATTTCGTAACAGTAAAATGATAATATGCTGAGAGTCAGAGGTTAACGATCTGATACATACGGTAACAGTAAAACTGCATGCAAAAGTGAGCGCAAGAGTGAGAGAAAGAGAAAGAGAAAGACATGGAAAGATAAAAAGATGCTTTGAGCGCATAGCATGTGTGAGGGCTTCCATGTGCAGTAAGAGGACTGTTACCAACTTCTCTGAGCATCTGCAACAAGTAAAGCATGACGCAAATAAAGATGATGCAAGCTCACTCCCAAACCAGTCTAGGCTTCCAGACATTACATTGTCTGTTCATTGTCTATTGACAAATGGGGCACTAACTGGTAGCATCGCCAGCTGCTTTGCACTCACCGTACTAATGTATGTCACTGACAGTTGACTGGCCAATGTTCGCTGCAGACCTTTAGCCATGAACAAGATTTCTTAAATAAAATAGCTTTGCTTCAGTATTAAGATTTAGTAAAATCTTTTGTCAATTTGCAGTGGACATAAGCTTTTATATTTCTTTAAGAAAATGTGCTGATTGTGATTAATGTGATCTATCACAGCTGTTATATATTATAATTACTATGCAAGCTTGAATGCAATAAAGTTCAAATAAACATATTCGGCATTAGTACTAGTGGTTACAGACGTGCAAAAAATAACTGCAGGCATCTGTCCAGACATCTGTTTAAACATTAAACATTGATGCAGTAAGCAGCGATAAAATGATAAGCGACTCTCTGTGCATTCACATTAACAAGCTACACAATAACAGCTTCATAAAGTCCTTTTCTATGGAAGTCTGCAACTAGTGCTAGCAAAATTATTCAGAATAACAATGTAGACAATAAAACAAAACCAATATTTCTGATGCTGATTTTCTGTATACACTTTAAACCGACATCCAAACTACAGTGAGTTAATGACTTAACCTAAAGATGGCAGCAGTTTACTTAGTGTCGTACCTATGTGAGCAGATAGCAAAAGAAAAAGCACAATTATTGCTGAAAACTAAAAAAGAAGTTAAGTCTGGGAGCGTTTTCTTAAGATGAGGGAAGAAGTAGTCATCATACTCAAAACATTCAAGTCTGAATCAGCTTTCCACAGAAGCATAACATTATCTTTGAAACCAGAACAGTCAGTAAATGGCAGCTTTCCCTCCATGCCGGTGTTCAGACAAACCAAACTACTCCCTGAGAAAGTTTGCACAAAAGTGATTTGTCACAACTTTAGCCTTACAAAAAGCATTAAAGCTCATCATGTAATATTACTAACATTAGTCAGTGTAATATTCTAAGCCACATCAGTTTCTGTTAATTAGAAGTACTTAGCAAGCTTCTTCATCAAAAACCGACGAAATGTTCAGCAGCTCAACCCTATCACAGCATTACATACATTAGCTAGCTGGCTACATGTTAATTAACTTAAAATTCAACTCATTCTGTAAATAATTTTCAGATAAAAAAAAAAAAGTCATCCACTCATTTTGGAAACCTATTCATTCATAGCTTGTTTAGTGAACTTACAGGTTACATGTTAAACTAGTTAAATGATGCTGCAGCCTTAAAAGCTATAACATTAATCTACGTTGTTGTTGTTGTTGTTGTTGTTGTTAATAATAATAATAATAATAATAATAATAATAATATCATCATCATCATCATTTATTTTAGCTATTCCTTATTACTTACTGCAGGTCAAAATGGCAGGCAGGCTTAAACAAAGCAACGTTTTTTTTTCCTTGGTGGTAACTTGGCTCTTGGTGAACAGTACCTCAGGTCGTCAAAGCATTGGGAAACATGTTATTTTTACAGGTCTTCACATTTACATTTCGATTAAGCCAATTAATTGTTAATCAGTCAGTTAATTCACATGAACAACCAAAAAACAAAATATTCGTTTTTTGCAGCCCTATCTGGAACACAAACCTACTTCTACAACAACGCAACAGTACAAAAAGACAAAGCCATGGGGGTGGTACTGATGCTCAAGTTGCACACATCCTCATGTATTTAGGCACACGATAGAGAAATTAGCATTTCTATTTAAGGTTACATTGATAAACTCTAGGTGAATTCATCATTTAGTAACATGGAATTTACAAACTTGCCTATGCTGGAACATTAATCACTGATAACTCATACCTAATGAATGCAACTCCGAATAGATCATAATGGGACACTCCAAAAATTCAATATACAAGTTCAACAATGAACCTGATGTAAAGCCATCAACCCTATTTAATTAGCAACAATCACAATAAATTGTCTGCGCTGTAATGTAAATGGAAGGTCTTTGTAGATTGGGCCGTGTGCAACCCAAAAGACGTAATAAAAGGTAGGGGTATAAAGGAATGTGTATTCTTATCAAACTGTCACGCTACGGATGTTATGGTTCGGTACATGCAATTGTACAGAGAATATACAGTAGCCTATGTACGAAGAATGATGAACGTAGTGAGGAACCAAATTTCACAAGCACGAGTTCCACACGGAAACCTTAAGCTACAAGCAATTAAAAAGTTACCCACGCTAGAGGCTAGAGATTCTAACTTGGCTCAAACTGATTAGCGTCGGACGGCATGTCTAATTTAAAGGATGGCTGATAACTCCTGACCCCTGATCAGCTGTAAGTTTCATTTTGTGCTCTTTGAACAGTGAGAGAGTTTTTTTAAACACAAGCTAAAATTAAACAAGTGAAATGAGACTTGCAGTATTTTTTGTTTGTGAAGAGCCTTACTATTTTTTTGTTTAATGTTCACTAAATTGTACCTTCCAGATGAATCAGCAGTGATTGGTTAGTAGCCTGCATAAAACATATTTTAAACTTTCCTTCTGGGAAAATCTCTCATACAGTTTGGAGATGCAGATTTCTAAACATACATACATACACACATATACACATATATACACACATACATACATACATACACACACACACACACACACACACACATACATTTGTGTTTAATGTCTAAAAGGTTTCTAATTTATCTTTTCCCTGTATAGTACTGATTGGCAAAATTAGTAATCACTAAATTAGTAAAATAATAATATATAAATTACAGAGTATTCACACTCACCCAATGTCGCTTAGTGGAGGCTTCCCGTGGCCCCTCTTGTAGCACAGGAAGAGCTCTGGGCTCTTGAGGCTGCCATGGTTGAGGTTGGCTGGCTGGCCAGTGTAGGTGCTCTCTATGCACGTAAAGCCTTCAGGCACAGTCTCACCTGCAGACTTGTTGATTACTGCTAGGTCAGTGATGGGGGCTTTGGGTCCACTGGACTTGGTCTCAGACAGATCCTGCTCCAACGGCGTGGACTTGTCTGTCAGTCCAGCCACCACAAAGTAGTCTGTCACACGATGACCCTTGTCTTCAATCATGGCTGGACGTGCCTGTGAGAGACGAGGTAGCGCTTTGAGAAATACAAAGTTCCTTACATTTTGAGGTTTTACAAACAACATAACAGAACCCGTAAGCTATATATACTCTACATATAATTTAAACTTTCCGCTACTGACAGTGGCAGTCAAAGTCACATCTGTGGCCCATATTTGGCTGGTAGTGAATAATTTTATTGGTTGAAAGTAAATACCTGACTAAATAGCATATCGTTGCTTTCTTCAAAATGTTTTTATAAAAAAGGGAAAAACTAATGTATTTTATTCCAAAATCATTTTGTTGTCTTCTTGAAATATTCACACATCAGTTAGTAATTTTCATACAGTGACAGGCCAACTGTATTTTCATACAGTGTAAAAAATTTAAAAGGTCAAAAAAAAACACAACAACAACAACTTACAAGGTTTTGATACAGCAGCTATGATATGTTTTCAGGCCTTTAAAAGTCTAATCAAACAAAAAAAACATATACTTTTCACAACAATTAACACTGAATAACCTATTATTTTAATGATGTAGTCTTTAGTAAGAAGCAACACCAGTAAAACCTTTTTGGAGGCGGCTGTGAGAAGTGAGGCATCACGTTGTGCAGCTGCTGGAGTTCACACATTTGCAGAACTGTTAAGCGTTTGCCAACTACCATGCATACAACAGCCGGCGTCTATCTACTGTTTACAAACCCACTACATCCAATGACTTTAGTACCCTGGACCTTGTAAAGTCTATAGAAAGGAATAACTGTAACATGGCATGAGAGCTTTGCTCTAGACTGAGACAGACAGGAAGCCACGACTACAGCCTTAGAGAACAGAAAGCCAGAGGAATGCACCAAAGCGCCACCATGGATATATATCAAGAGATTAGCAATGTTTCAAAGGATTCCTTTGAAAAGATCTCTGCTCTTTTAAAAGGAACACATAGATACACATGCGCAGACACACAGTCTTTAACCCTATACGAAACTTGCAGAGAGCACTTGTTGGTTGCTGTGCTTCTTTACAATAATCCCTGCTTAAGAGAGAGTGGATAGATCTGAGAGAATACACAACTAATAATTAGCAACACAATATGGTAATTATTAAATCTGTAATTAGCATGGCTGGTGCTAATGAAGTCATGCTCCTCTATTAAGATGACGGTGACAATCATTACAACAGCTGTAAGGGTGTGGCATTAGAGCAACTTCAATTTAGATAGTTTTGTAACTGGAATAGTAATTAGAAGTTCAATGTCCAACAGCGAGAGACAAAACCACTACTGACAATATGAAAAAATAGAAAATGTTTAACTTTTGTCAAATTACACCACAGTTACAAAAGGTCTCGTCAGTTCATGGTTGTTTTCCCCATACAATCATTAATTAGATCATAAACGGCAGAACCTGTCAAATGAGTACACAAAACATACTGAATAAGGATGTGGAAAAGCACCAGGTAAGGTCAAGAATAGCCTTCATTGTGATGAACAGGTCATCAGAATCAAAGAGAATTCTGCTGTATTTAAACATCACTAAAGGGGATTTTCAAAATACCTGCATAATTAAATCATTAAGATGTAAACAAGTCATTCAGAGAAGTTTGATGTGAAATGCGGCATTCTAGAGAAAGCTATCAAGTCAATATTGATCACAGTGGCGGTGATAGGAACCAGACGTCTAAAGTGTATTATATAAAATATATTGTAATACCACGAAAAGCTAGATCACAGGAATCTGAGAAGTGAAATGGTAAGAAATATACTGCCTAATGCCCAACACATTGTTTTACCAAAGTTTAGATAAAGGTATGGCCTAAACTTAAATACAATCACTGCAGTGACACACATGTAGGGCAAGAAAAGGCAAAATATTACTGAATAGTAATAATACCAAATATCAATACTATACATAGACACACAAACGTGTAGGTTTATTGGTCATCTTGGATAGTAAATATAATGGACGTATTTACATAGTTCTCATTGCCACCGCTTGTAAAGAAATCAGAGTTTCAGTTTCCTACAACATACCCTTTCACTCAATTCAACTCTGAATTACTTTGTTTACAATCTCAGCACTTGAATTATGCAGAAATTCTCATTTAATGAGCTTCAGCTATTTGATGGAAGAAAGGAAGACCCCAGCATTACACTGGAGCTGAATGGCATCTATTCACTAAGCTATGTAAAAGCAATATAACTCTGTTACAATTTAAAGACCATAAAGAGTAGATTGAGAAGAAAAGTGAAGCTTTAGAAAGCAAACACTGCTTCTGCCATGAAAGGAGCTCACAAAGAGAAATAGGACATTGATATTTCCAGCCATTAATCAGTTCAGTCAGGCTTGAGGGAGAGGTCTCTGAATGTACAGGATGCATGAGAATACACAAAGCAGCACAAGAGAATTCTTAATCCCTTAAACTGTAAGTAGTTCTGACGTAATCTGTAGTAATTACAGACTATGAAGTCTAACGATTAATTATAGCAATATAACGAGCCTGTAGTTTATAGGGTTAAATAAGCATCTTAACATTTCTTTGCTAGAACCTAAACACAATCAATCACTCTCCATTGGTAAGGTCGAGATAGAAGAAAGGTCATCCACATCAGCTAATCATGGTTATAAAAAGCTACTGACTGAGTTTGAATACATTTAGACTAATACGGAAACAAAATTCAGAAGTGCTGAGCTACAACCTGTAACACGAGTAAAAGCACAAATCATTCATCCATAATGCCTCCTAAACATCAATCTTCAAGCCAATCGATTCAGCTTAAAAGAGAGAACAGGGAATAGGAAGGAGAAGATGGACAGATTGATGGTATGAGATGGAAAGAGAAAGAACATAGACTTTATCCCTCCCATTTATCTTCTCCATCAGTCATTCTGCCAGCCACATGAGTGAGAGATTATAGGGGTTTATCTGCAAGTTCTTGGGCGGGATCGTGATCAGACAAAGTGAAATACCTGAGCTCTCCCTAAATCTGTTACTTTCATGCTGGAAACTGCTGAAGTCAGCTATCAAGCATGGCAAGAAAGACAGCTGTTTACTGCTGAATACTTAAAGCTTGCCTGCTGTTTGTTTAAGCCTTCATGTGTTAAGCCTCACAACATGATGAAAAGCAGAAGAGGCTGCAGTGGACTGCTCATGTCACTAAAAAGAGCATTTGCTCTTCTCCTAAGTAAAGAGCTTGTTTTTACATCTTTGGGGTGCAGTTTTACCCTTTATCATGGATAGAAGGTTATTTGCAGACATTTGCATATGAAAAGTATTGTGTTTTTATCAAAGTTAGTTACAACATAAGGCAGCCCCAAGACATCTCTGAATAGCTTCCTCGCATGTTTCCCATGCCTCTCTTAAATCGCCTGGCATCTAGCATAAAAGCTTGCAGTGTTGACAGTCATATTGATTTGTTGGCATGGGATTGGCTTTGAGCTGTGTTTACAGAATAGCACTAGATTCTAGTCTACATAAGCCAGTTCCTCCCCCCACAAAAAAAACCAAGAGAAACACATAAAAATTCTACACAATGAGCTCCCAATACCTCATCCCTTCAGCCCTTTGAAGCCTGAGACTGACAAGGATGACCGAGGGTAACCGAGGGTGACTGGAAAGGGCACAGGCCTTCCAAAAAATCTCCTGAAGCAACGCTGTGATCTGTATGGGGTGGTACTGGAAGGCTAAGGCCAAGGCAGTTTCACTGCTGTTAACACACAATGGAAATAGTGTCTCAGTCTGGGCTGGACTGTCCAGTGTTACTAAAACTAGCATGCAAGCTTCTGTGGATTTCCATGGTGTGCGGGTGTAAAGTCTTATATCTGACATTTCAAAACAAGTTAAGAGTTTAACAACTTACATATTTTCAGTTGCAATTCTATTTTAATTCAATTCTTGATATTTAGAAATGCCTTGATTCTACAGAACTGTAATAATACACTGCACGGACTGGTTTGGCTCAGAGAAATAGATTTTCAGAATTACAAGTAGAAAGTGCTGAATTTATAAGCAATTTCAGAAAACAAAGCTCAGCCATTTGAGCATGGGTGCATAGCATAAGTTCCTCCCCCATCCCTGTCTTTTATACTCTTGACAGGATGCACCTAAATGCCTAGTTTTGACTGACACTGGTTTCCAAAAAGGCATCAAATGGCCAAGTCATAGATTTAAGTTCCAATACACTGTTCAAACCAATATTTTTAATGCATCATAAGCATGTTAGGTGAATTTTGCAAGACGGGTCTTTTTTCACTAAGCTATGATTTATAACAATAGAGCTATGGTTAGTGTCCCTGGTCAACGGAAAGCTGACCAATTTTCCCCTTACTTTCATTTTGCTTTGCTACATAATGAGCCACACTTGCACCAGGTTTAAAATGGCATCTCAATTACAGATGCAAAATGAGGACACACTTAGGTCTGCTGCTGTGCTGTTGAGTTAGACGAGCGAGCATGACATCATGAAGGCTTTCAGCTCTAAATACTTGGCGTGGAGTACACACACCGGGACATGAATAGCCTAGACCAAATCTCTTATTTGGGTGGTATGTGGGTGTAAAGCCTCTCAGCCTTGAAGGTGTAAAGCCAGAGATCCGTCTCGGAACACGGAGTCCCGTCTGGCCCCAGCTGCTTCTTCAATCCTGCAAACCACCGTTACCTTCTGTAGCCTTAGTCTATGTTCCTGCTTCTACATTTCTGGTTCAATATCTCGGACAGGGAACCTCAAGCGTTTCTTATGCGTGGGCTCCTTTTAATAATGTTGGATCATCTCTCAAGATGCTGATTAATATGTCCAGAAGCATGCTGTCCTTGATCCTCTGCACTATCAGAAATGCATTTTTGTGCATGATGAGTTATTGGACCTGGACAGTACAGAGCAATCAAAAAATGTCTCAATTGCTTTGAGAGCTTCTTTTACTTTACCATATAATAAGCCACACCACAACAGAGCTAGAAATCACATGCATATGCATTGCTGAGGCACTGATTTGATATTATACTTAGTGTAATATTAGTTA